TGGTGGGTTGGATGGCCTACATGGCGCCAAACACAGACACGACAAATCCGATAGCTTCGTTTAAGAAGTTGGGGAGTGCCAAAATGGCCGACAACCGACGTGCACCCTCCCTCTCCCCCGAACACTTCAATATGAGCTCCCGCCTCAGCCTGGTCTTGTTCCCGACACGGCTGGGGTCTGTTCTTTACACGTGGCCGCCGAACTCGATGCACAGAAATCAACAAGACTAGCATTCCCGGCAGTGCGAACTCAATCGGGAAGAGACACATTGGAGGAAGCATGCCCAAAGCGGTGCTTCACCCGAGGGATCACAGCGGGCCTCCTGGGTGCCAGCGGGCTCCTCCTTGAAATGGCATATCACTTTTGGTGTGGTTTGGTGTTTAGGGACGTTCAGAGTTGCGAGCTTATCAAATCTTAAAATCTGTTGTCCTGTGTCGCAGTTTGGTTCGACACTGGCGCGGCAGCTGGAGCAGGTGCTTGGCGACCAGATTGAAGCGTCTCTGCCTGTGAGAGGAAATCGGAAAGGAAGAAAGACAGCCGAAACGGAGACTTAGTATGGCTGTTTAAAGCAAAACCAGGAAACAACAGGCCGCGGACCCGCCACTGATTGTACTCGTCTTGGGGCCTTCGCGGCAAAACACATAGTTGCGCGGATGCACATGCACATGGCCTCGTACTGAGATGCCAGCAAGCACAGCAGAGGATGACCACACCTTACAGACATGCTGGCGATATCTGAGAAATGGGCAGTCGGTCCGACAGGTACACAGCACAGGCAAGCGTAGTGGCGTAGTGCAGATGAGAGGCAATTTCTTCAACATTGCTATTGCACGCAACGCCTTGCAGAGGAAGGCCACACATTGTCCAGCTAGCCAAGAGCTGGATCGCCGCCTCGCCTCCATGCCACACTTCGTTCCTCCCCTGGCCTTGCACCTGAGTCTCAGTCCGGTCATGAGAGACGGCTTGCTAACGACTTGACAAAGTCTCCAACACCAGCTCGCTCGTGAGGAAAAGGTTGTACAGCTCGAGCTGTGCAGAGGTGAGATTTAGCCACCTCAGTCAGCTCCCGTCATTTTTACGCCTCTCGTGGCCGCCACTGAGCCAACGACAGGATCACGTCCATCTTTGGCGGCAGCTCGCCTGGAGCAGCATCCAGGCTGGCCGCTGGACTTGTTGTATTGGCCTGGTCTTGACATGCGTGCGCCCAACACGAAGTCAACTTCACGTGCCAGCCCTGAGATGCTGGCAACCTCGCACTTCAGTCGCCGCAGGAAATGTGGCGCAGTGAGCCGTTTCAGTTCACGAGCCTTGCTTTTGAGAGAGGCTTCCTTGAGATTCGCTTCGCTCGAGCACTGGTTTTTTAGGCTTGCACAAGGTGATCTTTCAGCTCGACAGCGAACCGAGAAGCGTTCCGCTTCGAGCCTTGCACGAGTCTTGCACGAAGGACCGCACTGGGTTCGACTTGTTTCACAGACTTATTATCTGCCTTTCGCAATCTGTTCCGAGAAGTTCCTGCACAAAGTTGGGCGCCTGCTCTGTGATTGAAGCAAGTTTCATTTCGGGCCTCTCGAAGGTGGCATGGTTCCCCAGCAGCGCTGGTTGTGCCTCATCATGCCCGCCAGTCTATTTAACATCCATTTGCGCCTAATAGCGAGTTCCCGCATCAGATTCCCATTGCCTTACACATTCCGAACAGAGAGCGGTGCGAAGTCCATCAATGCCCAAAGATCGCTGAGCTTGTTCTGCAACGGGGTCCTTGGGCGATGCTTGCCCTCTTCTCCCGGAGATCTTCCAGCTTCTAAGAGTCTGGCCCTGTCAGCAAGATACGCGATCGGGCGTTGATCCGACGCAGCACGCGGCCAGACTGACTCGATGGATTCTTGATTTGGTGCCCCTCGTCGACGACAAGGACATCCCATGGCCTCCATAGGGACGGAAGGCTTTTGTCAAGCAACTTCGTGTCTATGACAATGAGGTCCACACTTCTGCTCATCATCGACAGGACCCAGCCTTATGTTGTTCGATGCTCGCGACTTTCTCGGGTGGCTGGTGCTCAGAAAGCTAAGCCCCGAACGGCGTGGCATCTTCCTCACTCGGACTGTCATCGTCACGACAGGCACGCCTAGCAGGACACGCATGGTAATTGGGGAGCAAGCAGCTAAGCAGGTGAATCAAGTGGCACCTTGTGCTTCTCTTCCGCTTGCGGGACTGTGAGGCGCTGGCTTCGGTCAAGCCCGCCGTCCCTGAAATCTTTGCAAGCAAAAAGAAGAGATGGAAACCAAGCTTCAAAGTCGGAAGTTGTCTCAGGTCTGAACGAAGCTGGTGAATACAGGTGCGAGCCAGATCCTTACTGTCGAACCGATAGCGCAACACATCTCCGCAGAAGAACGGCAGGTGCAGCTCGCAATCTGTCTGTGTGTGTGTAGGCTGCCGGCATAGGAGACGAGCAGAACACCGCCGCTAGAAACCTGTCGTGACGCCAATGCGAGGATGCAGTCGGCCGAAAGTCTGGGGACTGCACGTGGCCCCTCAAAGCTGCACGCCGCTCGGGCAGAGCGCCATGCATCACGTGGACCGCCAAGCCGGTGTTCTGAGCCTGTTTCGCCATATCAGTCTGTCTCGTCACACTGGTAGCGTCTCTGAGAAGCCAGCCCAAGCATCAAGCTCTCGCCGCCACTGTTCAAGAAGAGTGACGGGCACTACAACGAGGAAGCGGGATCCTGAACATTCATAATCCCAGGAAGCCAACATGGGCCAGCACAGCTAGAGGCACATACCCCCCCATCTCATCCTTGGTTCGTGAACTTGAGGCAGGCCAAGAATGCTGCCGTCTGCACGGTCTTACCAAGGCCCATCTCATCGGCCAGAATTCCACCAAAGCCTCGCAGGAAAGGACAGACTGGCAAATGCACCGTCAGGATGCTGTGAGGCCGTCGCCCTTATGGTACAGATTCCACATCCAAACCACTCCCTGACGTTGGTAGTGATACAGACGGTCGTAGACAGAGCGGGGAAGCTTGATGTCCGACGTAGAGAAATGCAGCGAGCAAACCTTTGTTGCACGCGACACATGACAAGCAAAGCTGTGTAAACACGAAAATGCCATGGGGGACCTCATCGGAGACCTCCCATTTGGCAGATGCTTCAGGTGGCAAGGTCCCGCTCCACTGCTCTGCCTTCTCACAGTGTGTCATGCAACATCAGAGTCTAGGGCTCCGCAAACTGTGCGGCGGACAATGCCACCATCTGCCGCGACGATCTGGTGATCCTGATTGTCGGCATCAGCGACCTCCGCGCAGCTGCTTCTCCGAAACTTCCCAAGCAAGCCCTTGCGAAGCAATAAGGGGAGAGGGCGTCTGCCGTTGAGTGCCTGCTCCTTCTCCGGTGGATCGTCCTCAAGCGCTTCCTCCTCGCCCTCCTCAGCCTGATCCTGATCGAGTTTTTGGGCGCAAAGGCTCAAGGGCCCCTGGGTTTCGTGAAGGCAACGGGTCAGCGCTCCTCGGCCTCTGTGGCCGCCGTGGCCTTGTCCTGGGCCTCCTGTGGCTCCTCCTGCGTCTCAGCTGTCTCGAGCTCCATGTCCTTGGCGGCGCTCGGCAAGGCTTCTGCGTCGGCTTCCTCGGCTTCCTCTTCCGACTCCTCTTCGGACTCCTCCTGGCCCGCCGGGCCCACCGGGTCCTCCCCGTCCTCCTGCTCCGTCTCCTCAGCTTCCTCATCTTTTGGCTCGGAATGCTCAAGCATGTTCACATCCTCGCTAGCATCCACCATCATGGCACTTGTGCTCCTTGGCGACCATATGCGACAATCAGAATCAAACCAAAGCTGAACATGAAGCTGCATAAGCTAAATTCGAAACAATCTGTCTCGCTGGCACGCCAACTTCAAATACTGGAGCAAGCATCGCTGCACTAAGACCACGTTCGTTCGGAGATGAAAGGTCCTGGCAGCGAGAATCTAGGAGCCCTAGTTCGTTCATGTGGTGGCTTTCAAGGCGCACTTTCTAGCACATGATGGTTTGCATGCTTCTGCAATACTGCACGGTTCTCGGAAGCACAAACTCAGACAACTGTCCAATTATGAGGGTACACAAAGGATCTGCACTGATCGCGGTCCTGAAAAAGACGCTGACGAACAGAGTCACCGCCTGGCTGGCAAAGGCAAGGATCGGCACAGAGCAACTCAGCTTCTTCTCACCCATCCTACCGCTATACGACAGGAAAAGCATGATGTGAACTCCTCATTCCGAGTTCCAGGCCCGTCTCTTCGTTTTTCTCTGCACATCCTGTGCGACTCTCCGAATCGCCTCGGAGCTGCTGCCGAGCCGAGGTTTGCAAGACTCATTCATGTAACCGGTGCAGTGTGCCCTCAACACTCTTTCGCGCAGCACTCCGAATCCACTGGGGACCAACCCCCTGGCGCTCCTCAACCTTTTGCGCTCAAGCTGACACGAACAGAGGGTCTACCATAGGCCCACAGGCGGGAAGGCACTGAACGAGAGACCAAGCCCAGAAATCCGAAAAATCCGAGGCCACCGCTTCCAGACTCCTCAGGGTCTCGGATGGGACTGAAGGATGGTGGTGACCTTCTAGCTTGCATGGCACGACGTCACACTTCGCAGGACTTAAGACCATCTTGGACCGTGGCTGACTCATGAAGGCCGCACGGGCCTGCGATGCTGAGGCATTCGGAGAGAGGCCTCCCGACAGGTACTACGCTGACCTTCTGAATCAGAACCCAGCAATCGCGGCAATGGAGTGAGCCTGACATCTCGGAGAGGAAGGTGTCTCATCCCTTCAGCTGTTGAACCACTCGCGGGCAGATTCGACTTCGAGCACATGCGAGAGCATCGAATGCACAGCGATAGATTCAGCACATATCATGCTGTTTCTCAAGGCGTGTTGCATGGAGTCCGCTTTCGCTGTTTTTGCTTGGACCGACGCACTGACACCGACCGGAGCCCAGGGGCTGAAAATTTTCCGGTGAGGTGAAACTGGCACCGCCGGTCATTGAGAGGCCATGGCAGGTGGCCGCGATGCAGGCGTGTCCTCCAGGACTACACACTGCCCATGGCATGGGGCCTGTCTAATCTTGGTCCTTCGGGATCTTCTTGTAGACCTCCTCGTGGCACGGAGAACAGAGGATCATCGAGCAATGCATCACGCCGTGCCTGCCTCGCGGCACTGCGCCAGCACGTCGAGTAGCTTTTGTGCTCCCTTTCCGGTCTCCTATACTTTGCACCATCGATCAAAGCCCATTCAAAGAAATGGGGAGCTTCCCGTGCTCCTCTTCCGGGCCGTTGGCGTTCAACAGGTAGTACTGCTGTGCCGCAAAGAAGCACCTCCCATAGCTGCAGGCTCTCTGTCTGCGCAACTTCTAGCATGCCATGCGATAGAGTCTAAAGACATTCTCCGCATGACGGAAGATGCCACCTGTATCGGCTGTTTTCACTCCAGCTTTCACTGGCGATCTCGGCCATGGTAGCCTTAGTAGATCTTGGTCAGATTTTCCGGCTGAGCACAGAGGGCATCAGTCGGCCAGCTTGCCTGCATTTCTTCCACTTCCTTCTGCTCCTTGTCTGCCATCCTCGGAGAAATCTGAGGTCAAGGTCTTCCCGAAACATGGAGTAAGGGTCGGGCTTCATCTGTCGCTTGACCCAAACGAAGCTCAGCACCCCCAAGTTGACCACCGCGCTCTGGCAAACAAACAGCAAGCGATGGCGTCTCTCTTCACAGCTAGTCCTCTGGTTGAAGCTCGGCAGGAGCACACTGTAGATCAACTTTTGCGGTAGGGTCAGCCCCCTAGGCTCAACATCATCGTTTAAACCCGCACCGGCAACCTTTCTGTCTTCGATGGCTGGTGAAGTCTGAGCGGGCGGCTTCCAACCTGCCACGCGATTCGACATCCTGCTCAGGCTCAGGACCCACAAGCAGCTGTGCTAGCCCGCTTGCCGCTTCTCCCCCAATAGCCTGCAGCCTCTATACCATGCCCCAAAGCCGCCTTCCCTTTGTTGTTGGCTCTAAGGGCTCCGGACGTATGGTGCTCGAATTAGCATACTAGTTAGCATTTAACTGTCGTTTGTGATTCTCTTCCAATTGTCGTGGGCTAGTGGCTGTCCGGTAGAGCTACGATCTGTTTGTCTAATGCACTTGCTTGCATGCTCTTGCATGGATCTAAATGCCCACTTGGGCCAGCTTCCGTTCATCGGCACTTGGCGCAAACCGCATGCAACACACTTTAGGACCTTAGGAGGTTGGCACAACCCATGTCCTTACTGCGGTGTTTGGAACAGTGTCTTCATGCTTTCCACACAGCGTTCGACATCAGCATCTATACTGGGCTAGTAGTGAAGGCATAGCAAAATATGTAAATTGTTGCGAAAAAAACTACGTGTTACCGCTATCTTTGTAAATGTAAAACACAGCAAAGTTTACAAACTGTAGAATACCTTTGTTGGAGCCTCTAAGTTAGGCAACCACGCAATCGGACGCCACGGGGTGGTTCTGCATCAGCGGCTTCTGCAACCTGCCGCCCTTCAAACGGGCGCTTCAGCACACAAAGGCTCAGAAGGCCTCGGCGGAGGTTTACAGGACGATGGAATGCTCCAGATCGAGCGGCGAGGCTGATAATTGGCAGACCGAGGGTTTCCCCACCTTCGAAAACCGAACCTCCGAGCACTCGAGGCCCAGGTACTCTCTTTGGCTTTTCCTTCGGTTGGTGGCTACGGCCTGCGCGACTGTCCGAAGAGCTCTCGCATGTTCGATAGCTGCAGCTGCTGCAAGCCTCTTCCACCCCCAAGCACTGCAGCATCGGCCTATCCCGGCCGAAACCGGAGCTCTTGAAGGTCCTTGTCGTCCCGCGTTTCCGAATCTCCCTCAGCGGGGCAAAACCGATTCCTCTAGAGTTGTCCTCCGAAGCTCTCCACCTGCAGAGTTCGAACGCTTTCGAGTCCGATGCTACACTGCCTACTCAGTGCACTTGACTTGACACCATCTCTCAAGCAGATTCTCATCGGAACATGTTCACAAATACGTTCCGACTCTCGAAGGGGACAAAGTCCTCGAGCGACAAAGCTCTCCTACCCAACAGTTTTCGCAGAGAAACGGAAGTCTGTTCGATCGCTCTTTGCCTGGGCAAATGCCGGAACTGCGTCTTTGAGCAGTTGGCCCAGGAATCGCTGTTGTTCAGACTTCACCAGCTTTCGCCAGTCATAGTATGGGATCTCTACTACTTTCCAGCCCGAGGCACGCAAGAGCCTTATTCGAAGAGCGGGCAGCTGCTGCCACGGCACACTCGTAGCAGAGGCCTCGATATCTTCTCCCTCGCCTAGGTTGAACCATCTTTGGTCTGCATCCTCCAGGACCTCGTCAAGGCCCGCGGCGACGAAGTCTCCAGGGATTGGTCCGTGATCCAGTTCGCTCTCCGCCGTCCGCCCCCAACCAGCATCCGCCCAGGCTTCCCGGGGCCCCTCGAAAAGATCACCTTTCAGTCCTACCTCCACTGCGACCTTCAAGGCGGGAAGTGCCAAGCGCACGTTGCAGCAAGATGCCGAGTGCATTGCCTCGAGCTTTGGCACGGGTGGCTTCAATCGGAACTTTTCCGTCAAGAGCTTCTCCAGTGCTTTGAACACGCTGCGCTCGTAGGACCGCAGGTAGTCAACCGACTGACCGGAGACCTTCTCCAAGGGCAGTTCTGGCAGTTCTCACAGAGACAAGAAATCTGCGCACTGGCACGTCATGTTACACAGTTACACGCGTGAAGCAGCTCTTGCCAAGAGGCTCTCGCTGGCCGCTGCACCTCCTGGAAGCGCTTCGCGGCGGCATCGCTGAGGTCGCCGGCCTGCACCCTCAGCGGAGGCTGTGCTTGTCAAAGCTGTCAGAGATCGCAAAACGTATCTGCCAGGGAACCCAAACTCCAGGGATGCCGAGGCCACAACCTGAGCGCTTCTTGTGGGCCCCACGCGCGCTTCCCTAACTTCTTCGGTCTTTCAGACTCCGGCGGCACGAGCAATCTCCTCTGTCGCAGAGCTCTCCATCCTTAGTTTCGCCAACCGAGGAGAGGCGCGCAAAGCTTGGCCGGCATGCGACGGCTATGCTTCCGGCTGCAGCCACACCTCCAGGCTCTGCTGCAGGAGGACCTGCCTTGATCCGCGAAGCCTAGGTCCTCTCCTTGGGCTCGGCCACTCTTCGGACTCCGAGCTCCTGGCCGGAGGTGTCCAGCCTCAGCCTTGTCCAAGACGACTCCCAAGCGTCACTTCTGCAGCGGCCAAGCCCGCCAGGCCCCTGCCTCCTCCTCTTGGCCCGCTGGCCTTGCAGAGCTCTGCAGCCAGGCTCTTGCTCGCTCTTGCTCGCAAGCTTCGGATGGGAATGCGGACCGGGATGGACCGGGGACCGGGCCGCTCCTTGCAGGGTTGGGGCCCCCAGAAGGCGATGCCAAGCCTTACTTGTCACATCGCTGCAGGTGACGTCATCGCGAAGGGGTCTGCAGGCAAGGGCCCCAGAAGCAAATCACCGAGGCCTTGACAGCAGCTGGCGCAGAGCCTTCTCCCCGAGACGCGGCACTGCATCGACCCGCAGGAGAGCCTGGAGCAGATCGCCATTGCTGCGTTGAAGGACTGCCCACAGTTACGGCAGACGACACAATTTCGGCATCCATGTGTACGCACTCCTAGCTTCTTAGCCTTCATGGCCCGGACGAGGAACTCTAGGATGGTCGTTCGGTACTCCGGCGCCACCTCTAAGGTTTCGGGCATCAGTCAAATCATGTGTCTGCAAAGGTAACGATGAAGCAGGCAGGGCACCTTGTGAGGCGATCCCAACTTGGCATACGCATAGATGGCTTGTGGCAGGTCCTACACAGAGAGACGCGATTTCGAGCCGTTCATGAGCATGCTGGCGCATGCTGGCGCATTCTGCCAAACGCCTCGGCAGGGAAAGGCAGCTGGCCAGGTCCGGCTAAGGACTTGGTTGAAGCAGCATCCAACTCCTCGAACGACAGAGAAGGAGGACTCGCCAGCTTGCGCGGCAAAGATCGGCAACGCAACACCTGGGATGCGTTCGTGGCCAGTGTGGCCAGCAGGCGCCAGTCCTGCAGTGCACAGAAGCGAGTGGCAAGCCGCAAGCATCGAGCTCAGGGAAGTCTCCCTTGCATCCAAAGCGGTCCCTGAGTCCGACCAAGGCCCAGATTCGCAGCACGTCTGCCTGCTTTTTCTTTCAAACAACGTCAAGAAGCTTCCCCTCCTCTTTCAAGCAAAACTAGAGTGCACAGTCTGCCATTCGTCTAATCGTGATCCCGCCCTGTTCAACCGTCGGACACCACTGGTCACTCTTGCGCAGCCTGCCCGGGTTAGGGCTTCTGCCAGCGCTTGCCGGCTCTGGCATCAATCACTATATACAGTCGACGGGTCGGAGCTCAAAGTCTACGTCTACACTTCATCGTTGCATTATCACGCGCGGGGCGAATGTGAAACAGCCTTTGGTTTTCACAGAAACTTCCGACGATCCAGCCGATAGTCACTCCTGAGCAAAAGGAAGCGGAAAGACGAGCCAGCACTCCGACACCTATGTTGCAATGCTGGAGAACCGAACCCTGCTCGAAGGCGAGAGGCGTTGGAACTGGAGGTGGAGCGACCATTACAGGACACACTGCCATCTTGGATGCTGTTTCTTTCATGAGGTCATCCAATGCCTTCGGATTCTTCCCAATCCTCAGCACTGCGAGTCACTGAGCATGGTGGGCAGGGCACCGGCCCACTTTCCGTGCATGGGCATCTGCAGACAAGGTGCTCAGAATTCATCTCCTGGCAGGAAGAATGAAACTTTGCAGCCAAGTGAAACAGCAGCACAGCGACGCTCTCCCTGGAGCGTCCCATCCCCGAGGCCTTGATTGCACCTTCGATCTGCTCCCGCAGCATCTTGATGTCATCAGGATTCGCCGCTCCTCCTCGGCGTGTGGCAGCGCCCGCACAGCGGCAATAGCAATAGCTTCCGGGGTCCCGACTTTCAGGCTATAAGTAGAGGAAACAGGGTCAGCCATTGCTACTAGTACATGTTCTTGCTCAACATGGAGAAAGGTAAGGGCGTCTTTGCGCAATCCTCCTGTTCAACACATAGACTTGCCTTGTTTTCAAGCGATGGTTCCAGTTTGCCACAGGCTCTCGGACAGCGGTCTTTACGTAAGCTCCCAAGCTTTTAGAGAGAAGCTTCGCCGAGACATGCCAAGAAGCTGCTCTCGACGAGTGCTGTGTCCAGCTCGCGCACGTAGTCTCGACGAACGTCTGGCATGGCTTTCAAGAGCTTTTGCATCTTGGGATGCCTCGGGCCACTTCTGCTGTCCACGTCAGTTGTGAGACGGACACTTGCTGGGTCCGCTGCATTGTGGACAAGAGCTTCTCGGCAGTCAGGCCACCCCAAGGGTCACCTTCCGGGTTTCTGGAACCCTTTTTGAGCCACAAAGCTCCCATGCGCACACACTGACTGATTCGGCCGAGAATAGGAGTGCAGGAAGGGGAAGAGAGAGAGGCGAGAGAGAGGCACGTTGTCGTCGTCAAGTCGCGTCGTGAAGATGAGGTTCCTGTCCTCTATTGTCGTCAAATGCCACGTAGTAGGGATAATGGGTCCTGTCCCTGGCATTATAATGTGGGATAGGTTTCTGTCCCCGGAGCCAGACATAGAGAATGGCTGCCGCTGCCGCGGTCGAAGTGCGATGTCCGGGCAGGGCGTAAAACGTTCAAAATGCCAAGTAGTAGGGATTGGGTTCTGTCCCTGCCACATCGGGGATATGGTTTCCGTCCCCTTGCAGGTACGTTGCAGCACCTTGCTATCAGGCTCTTCGTTGGCCATTCCCTGATAGCAAGGCTGAATGGCCCCCTGCAAATGTCCACATGTAAAAAACAGAAGGAGTGACCCTCTGCTCTCATGTGCTAGGGAGGTTCACACACACACAGCCCCATCAGGGGCGTGTGTTGAGAGAAGTTCAGAAAGAAAGAGACGAGAAAGAGAGGCCGATTACTTCCCGGAGGAAGCTGCAACCACTTGCATTAGACGACGGTTACTGCACCTGCACTCATGTCAGAAGCACATGCCCTTGCAGTCCCTGAGGAATAAAGAAGCGGTCGAATAGAGGACAGACTAACGAGGTAGTCCTGTGCATTAGCGGCCAGTTACTGCACTAGACGCCAGTTACTGCACCTGCACTCATGTCAGACTCACATGCGAGCATCAGAGAGAGAGAAAGTAATCATAAGAAGCATCGGGAGATCTGAACGGTCTGAACGAAGGCTGAACATCCGGTTTATCACCGGTTTCCGTTTCGGAGGAACACCACGGCGCCATGACGGAAAGCCGCTGCTCAGGAGTCTCATGACCCACGATAGTCACACTGACTGATTCGGCCGAGAATAGGAGTGCAGGAAGGGGAAGAGAGAGAGGCGAGAGAGAGGCACGTTGTCGTCGTCAAGTCGCGTCGTGAGGATGAGGTTCCTGTCCTCTATTGTCGTCAAATGCCACGTAGTAGGGATAATGGGTCCTGTCCCTGGCATTATAATGTGGGATAGGTTTCTGTCCCCGGAGCCAGACATAGAGAATGGCTGCCGCTGCCGCGGTCGAAGTGCGATGTCCGGGCAGGGCGTAAAACGTTCAAAATGCCAAGTAGTAGGGATTGGGTTCTGTCCCTGGCACATCGGGGATATGGTTTCCGTCCCCTTGCAGGTACGTTGCAGCACCTTGCTATCAGGCTCTTCGTTGGCCATTCCCTGATAGCAAGGCTGAATGGCCCCCTGCAAATGTCCACATGTAAAAAACAGAAGGAGTGACCCTCTGCTCCCATGTGCTAGGGAGGTTCACACACACACACACACACACACACACACACGCACACACACACACACACGCACACACACGTACCTGAAGCATGGCCAGCATCCGGAGGTGGCAAGCCATGAGCTGTGAAGGCACTGACGATGGCAGTACCTTCAGAACTCTGCATCTGCACAACAAGTGCTGCCAGAATCCCTACAAGGCCCGCGCCCAAACCAGGCATCACTTCAGTCGCCAGAAGTCGACTACGGATTGACAGCAACTTGTCGGCTGCGGGTTCACATCATCACATCAACCAAACACCAGCACAAAAAGAAGGGGAGGGAATGCACAGGTGCGGAGGCACCTGGTCTCGCAGTGACAGCAAGTTTCTGGCCATCGCCAACTGCACGCTGATGCTCAATTTCCGAAAACGATACCTGCCGTGGGAGGACTACGAAGAATTAGCCTCTCCACTGCGAAATCCGCCTGCCGCCCAGCCTCAACTGCGACACCGGGATCACCTGTCGAAGCTGGGCCAAGGAGTTGGCAACGGCCACAATCTCAGGGCCTCACAACAAGGCGTAAGTGCTCTAGAGCCGCGGCAACCACAATTTGCCGTCTACCCAGCTCTCGATCCTCGATGTCTCAATCGCCTTTCGGAGGACTGCAAGATCTCTGCCGCCATGGCCTCAGAAGGCTTCTCTTGTGCCGAGATAAAAGATGCCTCAAGGAAAGTCGCAAGAACTTCCGACTGGCAAGGACGCTGCCATGTTGTGGTGCAGAACTCCGCATCCTTGAAGGCGGTTCAAAAACTTCGCGAGATCTCTCGGCGAGTAGTTTGAAGATGATCTCCTGAAGCCGAAGCATTCGCATGCCTTGAGGCCTTGAAGCCTCGCGAGACGTGTCGCACGTCGGGTCCTCAGATGAGCTACAGCAGCCTGGATCAAGCCTGAGAAGCAAAGCCCCACGGACGTCTTTGAGCTGACATGGCATGACCTGGCAAGCCGTCCTTCTGGAGGACGCTTTTGGGCCGCAAAAGGTTGCAACACCTGTGAAACTTGCCTGGCACGGGGCAATGACAATGCCGCATACTGACGACTCACTGATGAAAGATGACTAGCGCTGGTTGCAACTTCCGCAATCCCCAAAGCCAGTGAAGTTGTTGCACGCAGCGAGACGTGGCAAAACTTTGGACCCTACAAGATTCAATTACAGCTGAATCTAGGTTGACCCATCTTCGATTCCAATGAGAATCCAGCAACCTAGTGACCCAGTGTTTACGCGATATTCCCCGAATCAGCGCAATCCGGTAGATTCTCTCCGCTGTGTTATCTGTGCGGAAACACCTTGACCGAAGGCAGTGGATATTGCTTTTGCTTTTCCGTTGATTCCTTTGATTTCTTCTGGGGGTGTACCCACATAATATCAGCTCTACTTCTATACGCTAGGATCAGCTTTGGAAAATGGCCTTCGTCTGTGGCCGGGCCATTTGCGAGGCTCGATCCGACAACATCACTTTGAGTAGGCGAGGTAGGGGTTAGCACGAAGGAGCTTCTTGCACGTTGACACTCCACCCATCTTACTCCAGTCGACACATCAAAGCCGGCTCTGGACTCGAAGAAGTCAGAAGTCGTGAGCTTTTTCCCGGCTCACCAGACAACATATGCTACGATGCTGGCCCAAGCTCATCCCAAGCTCCATAGCCCCGTTACCCCAAGACCCCGTGGGTTCGCCTGGGCGTCCAAGGGGTTGATGCCTGCTGGAGCGACTGGGCTGCATGTTCACCGAGCTGGACCAAGTGGTCCTCACCTTTTGCTGTCGGATTTGGAAGGGAGTTTTTAGATTGGGGCTGCTGAACTCAAGGCTCTCTTCAAAGAGCGCTGGTCTAGGCTTCTGCTTGCAGTACACAGCTTTGAAGTTGTGCCACGCCGTGCCATTGGCGGATTGCTTGAGGCACCAGCTCCAGCTTTGTGCCAAAGCGTGCTGTGCCTCAGAAGCACTCACAGGCAGCGAACCACAAGAAGAGGCTGCCTGCAGAAGCCCAAGAGTCCAGGTGCTAAGGCGGCTAAGGCCTGGGCGGTGCCCACGGCAGACGAGAACATGGAGAAGTCCTCTGCGGAAAAGCTCCCGAGACCTGAAGCACTCAGATTTGTCTCACGCACTTTCTCTCTGCCGCCCACGGCGGCTGCATGCGGCTGCAGTGCTGCTTGGCGCTCTGCGGGGCACGGCTGCCTGTGTGAGACCACTCAGGAGATCTTCGCCTGGAAGCATCGCTGGCACCAGCATGCGCCAGCGTAGCGCGAGGCCCGGGACGGGACTGCGAACAGCCCTCAGCCCTTTCTTGGCACCGCACTGAAGTGCCGCAGCTTGACGAAGGCGGCGGCGCTGGCGCTCAGCCCCTGGCAGAGCTCGGCTGCGTTGGAGGATCCGGTGCTGCATGCTCGCGCTTGCCTGTGGTAGAAGCTCTTCCACCTTCACGAGGAGCTGCGCCTCCCGCGAAAACTGTGTTTAGACGCGAGTGCATGCCGGCGCTGTCTCTGCTTCTCACTGCCTCAAGCCTGTTCAGAAGAGAGGACCGGAAGTCTGCGCTCCCTGCAGGTGAACTGTCCACCAAGATCCTCGGCGATCTGGGGCCGGCTGAAGTGTTTTCGTTGCAGTGTGTGCGAGTGGCCGTGCATCGCTCGTCGCTTGTTCTCGTCTTTTTGCTGTTGACACGCTACGCGAACGCACACCCAAATGTGCCCACGGCAAGGCGAATGGGATTTTGTATTCCGAGGTCCGGTTGTCCTCCCCCCAACATGCAGCGGAAACGAGTGAGTGAGTGAGTGAGTGAGTGAGGCTCGGGGCCCCGTGCCCGGATTCGCAGACACGGGTTCCACATGATTCCACATAGGCCGCGACTCTTTTGCCTGTGCGTCTGCAGGCCCCGATAATCCCGATCGGCGAATGCAGAAGAACACTGGTTCCAAACAGGTCTCTTGTTTCTCGCGATGTGCGTTCCCGGGCCGCGGGCCTCATTCACTCGCTCACTTACGCCGGCTGTTGGCAACGCTGCTGTCTTCGAAGATGCTTGCTGCGGCTATGTTGCCGAATGATAGCGGCTTTGCAGCCTGTACTGACCCCTTGAAGGGGGCGGGGCGGGGTGCTCGGAGTCTCGTTTCACCCAAACAAGTCTGTAAACAACCACTCCTGCAAGCTCCGAAAGGAACTAGTCTTCGTGAGAAGGCCTGACCGCACCTGGACAGAAGCACCCCACAAGTGCTCTGAGCTTGCCACGCCGAGACGTTGGTGCGGGCAGGAGAGACCCGTGCCAAAGCACACACAATGTGACAAACCTCGGCTTGTAACTTTTCACCTGCTGGACAAAGATGCTGCAGTTCGCGAGATTTCGCGAGTTGCTAGGCAGCGGGCGGAAAGCCCACCAAGGGAAGGAGCAACCTTGCGCCAAATGCACGCTGAAAGCAAAGCAGCCATACGACAACGACTGTGTGCCGGGCATCCATGACACGCCCCAGAAGGGTTGAGAAGGTATTTCGGCCATCCTGTGTCATGTTTCTGTTCATGTCATGCCTTCTCGATCCAAACTGCTTCGCCTTCTTCACGTAGCGCAGCTTGGCCAGGTCCGCCACGACAAGCGACAGCTGGGCCCTCAATCGCACCGGACAACGTTCTTCGACAGCTGTTACTGTGTTCCTGTGCAGCATGGGTCGCATGGTCAGGCTCCGGCGGGCTGAGAGTGTACGGGGCCGCCTCCAAGGAACCTGAGCACAAGGAATTTAATGGCATCTGCACTTCGAAGGATTTTTTTCGAGGTCAACGCCAGGAGAGCCCAGCACCTGGCATCAGAACACTGCTCGAACACTACTTTCGCTCTTCGCGGAGTTCGCGGTTCCGCTGCGGCCTTCATATGGAAGTTTGAAGACCACTCGTCGAGGAGCATGCGGTCGTAGATGTTGGCAGCGGCTAGTCCGTGCAGGAGCTCGCAAAGGCTCGCCTGGGAGCAGCTGTTCATCATGAAGAGCATCTGGGGAAGGAGCGGCTCGATCGCGGATTGACGAGCACTCACACCCTCGAGCTTGGAGTATCCGGAGATGATGGACGCCAGATCACGAGGTCGCATGGTGTTCGCCCTCCAATTGCGGGTCACCTCTCTTTGCAGCTGTAGAAGAGTGTTGTCATCCAGCTGCTTGAGTGCTCCGAGATCCAAGAGCGCGCTCGCCAGCTGCCGCGGGGAGCACAGCGGCAGCTCCTTGACTAGTCTGCTTCGGAGCCACATTGCCAGAGACCGCGTCGCGCCCGAGCCTCCCGAGCCCCCCGAGCCCGCATCCGCCGGATCCTCCGACATCTGAGTGACTGACCTCAACAAGGAGATGAATCCTGTAGCTTCCAAGCGCTTCCCAGACTCCTCGAGATGCTGCAGCCGAAGATGGACAGCCTCCAGGACACGCTTCGCTGGTAAGCCCATGCACTCCAAATGCCGGCGGAAAACAGCAGTGAATCGGCAGATCTGCGCAACATCAATAGGGCTGAGGTGTTCCAAGGATATCTCTGCGTGCGTGCCAGCAAAAACTTGATCTACCAAAGTGCCAAAGGCTGGCATCCAGAGTTCGACACGTGCGAGCGCACTTGCTGCCAAACAGACATGCTTGTTTTGGCCTGCCAGGCGCTGGGAAACGAGCTTGTCGACCAGGAACCGGATGAAGTGCTCGTCCCGTGACATGTCGACAATATGGTTTAGTACAAGTGCAGCCTCTGCAGGTGTTCTTGCCTTTCTACCGGCTTGTCGAAGAAGCGCAAGTGCATTTGAGTTTCTGGTTTCGCTTGATTGCAGTGCTGCTTGACAGAGTTTCCTGAAGTCGGCAATGCCCCCACTGCTGTCCGGCAAGGAAGCCTTCTTTGGGCTCTCCTGGGGTACATCGCGACCTCGCCTCTCTCTCCTTCCCAGGAGCACGGGAGGTCGCCCGCGCAAGAGCTTGCCGGGCATCTGAGTGGCCACCGCTCGTCCATACTTTCGAGTCGCACTGCAGCGTCGAGCCAGGTGCCACATGGCGGAGTGAGCTTTGCATGGTGGCAAGAGGCCTCTTCTGCGCAATGGCAGCCGCACGCCGCATTGCACGCTTGTGAAAACACTCGACTTCCCGATGCCTGTTTGCTGCGCAAATTCCCGTTGAGATGTGGGTGCCCTGCATGAAGGCATGAGACAGTATCTGCTATTTAATGGTACCTCACCGTTCCTATGCACATCTCCGGCTCTGGACCACCGACATCGAGATGCAGCATTTCAAGGGAAGCTTGCGGGGCTAACTGGAAGTTTCTGCGCAGCTGGATGATGGAAGGAGCTTTTCGCACAAGACGCTGGTAGGCTGGTCGAGAGGCTACAGCCAAAACTTGGAAAGTGGGCGTTTGCCCACTCCCGCTTCAGCGACGGGGGCCCTGCTGAAGCTGAATAATCATCGTCTCCTCTGCCGGATGTTCCATAAACATTGGCCCACATGTCAAGAGACAGCTGTGCCGCTGCGAGGCATCGAGACCGAAAATCACAAGCCGCTTCGGGCTTCGTGCTGGAAAGCTTTGGCTTGATGATGGGCTCAGGTGAAACTCCTGGATGTGATGATGACCTCCCAGGGATGCTCCCAAGCTGACAAGTAAGAGGGGCTGAAGCGGAGACAGCAAGTGCAGTCTGCAGTCGCAAGAGCGAGCAAGCTTCGTAGTATCAGTTTACTTGGAAGTGCATTCATTCATTGAGTTCGAAAGCATGCTTTTTGCGCCAGGTCGCTGTCAAATTAAGGGTATGTATGCACACAACATAAACAAATGACTGACGGTGGAAAAGTCAGCCGTTTACAACTCTATGTTATAAACTGCTCGGAAACTAGGAGAAGCTGTTGGCCAGTCAACTTTCTTCGTCGATGACCATGGATTGCTCAACAGCCTCGATCCACTCAACAAATTCTGGACGGGTCAATGACGGCTTGACTTTACCGAAATGGCGATACATCAAACTGGAGAGATCTTCCGCCGTGATGCTATGCAAGGGCAATGCATCTGCGAGCTCGAAAACGGTCATTTCACGTGGGCTCTGCTTCTTCACCCTGGAGAAGAAGGTTGTCAAATCTCTTCGTCGCTCCGTAGTTGGACGGCCGCGCGTGGCCAGCATGAATAGAGCTCGGCATTTCCTCCAGCTCAACAACCCACTGCCGTCGTTATCCACCATTCGTATCAAGTTCCTGGCAAGGCGTTCTGAAGTTGCACTGAAGCCCAGCAGCTCCATGTTGTTTGCTAGCTCTTGGGGCTTCACAAACCCAGAGTTGGCGGCATCCCAGCTGGTGAAGATGCTTGACACCTCCGACTTCAAGTTGGGTGGCAGCTCGTCAAACAGAGCTTGTCCCCGATTGACATTGTTGATGGCAATCTGCCGCAGGTGCGAATCAAGGTATGCTCGAGACTGGCCGGTCATGGCTTGTGTGACAGAATCCGCTTGCGCCCAGGTCTCACCAGTCACGAAAGCTCTCGACTCCATGCCCTGAAGATGGATCAGCCGTGTACAGTCTCTTAACAAGCCCTCGATGCCAGCAACCATCACCTGTCTCACCAGACCCCTCTGGTTACTCTTAAACCAAGCGTTAGATTTCGTGCGGGTAAGGGCTGCGCGAAGTGTCAAGCGCCTGACCAGACTGGGCACAAGCCAGAACAACATCAAAGGCCACTCAATGCAGGCCAAAGCAAAGGGGATCGTCCTGTCGGGCCCATGGATGCTGCCATTCAGCAACTCTACGATTAAGGAAGCCACCACAGCTGCCTGGAGGAAGCAAAGGAGCTTGAAAGCTTCAGTGTAGTCCTGCACCAAATAGAACGAAGAATCCAACCCGTGCTCTTCTCTTGGAGTTGCCCGAATCCGTGGCCAAGGCGTGCCGTCGATTCCTGGCATCATGGGCCGGAAGCGCCGCCCTGACTGGCTGAGAATTTTGGAGACTGCCTCCTCCGGCGTGCGTCCCAGCCAAGAGGAACGGCGGACCATTTGGATCGAGGTGCCTGTGAAGAGTCGCAGGACCTCGCGGGGATCCTTCGGGACTTGTGGCGTCAGCTCCCATGTGTCTTCCTCCAGAACGACGGAGTAGATCAAGCCGATGGAAAATAATCCCCAGCAACAGAAGCACTGCATCAGCTGTGCATTCACAGAATCCAACGCCAGGCAAATTGCTGTGACAACCGCCACGACAAGCAGGGAGACGAACCATGTTGTGACGTCAACCTCAACCAATGCCAGGACCTTGTATCCGCAATGCATTGCAGAAGTTAACATCCTTTATGCTGGGAGGTGTCAGGTTTCGCTCAGTCTTTTCGCGAGGGGCGAGAGCAGGGGCTGTTTGGGCGACATCTCCGCCACAGCTTGCAGGCATGACAGGTCCTACGCCCCTGAGGTCTTTGGTCACCATGTGCCCGTGGCACCTCACCTGCCCCCACTTACCATGTGATCTTGTTGTCCTGCACACAGGGCCAGCCGCCGATGGTGCAACTCCTCCCATCCCGTGGCACCATCAAGATGTAACGCCCTCTGAGTAATTAGCAAAACGCAAGTCGCGAGCGGTGCCCTGCGATTCTTTCCAGGTGCTTTAGACTTGAAGCTTTAAGCTGGAGAGTCCAGGAAGGCTCGATAAGCCAGCAAGCACGAGAAACTCAGTGGAAGCCGATGTCCAGGTTCTCTGGGTGGATTTCGCGCGGTTAAATTTTCACGGAGGCCTGAAAAGACAGGTCAACGATATGCTGCTATGATTCTGCGATGTTCCGCATTTGCCGTGAGGCCCTTGGCAGCTTTGGCATCTGATCGAGACTAGACGGAAACCTCGCAGTGAGTTCACAAGACTGCTTGCCCCTGAAATTTCGACTGCGGCTTCCGAAAGCAGCAAACAACAGACTTCAGGTTCGCTCAAGCACGAAGCATTCTGGTGGGCATCGTCGGAGCTTGCAAACGACTGAATCTACGTCGGCAAGCACACTTCGCCGGTCAGATCCCGGTTCGCTAAATGTGAGTGCTTCAGATATCATCTAAACGTTATGTTGCGGGGCTCCCGAACGGACAAAACACCTCCATAGATGTTGCGGCAGAGACAACTGTATGAAGCTCAGCAGCAATCTGACCCAGCTGCTGCTCGAGAAAGGATTCGAAACTGAACAGTCCAGGGATCACACCCCCCTCCTTGGCTGGAGAAGGGGAACCTTCAGAAATCGCTACTCCGGGTTGGACCTGGTTAACGTTTTGAGGCACAAAGATCCAGACTTGCTTCTAACGCTGCCCAGTCTCATTGACCAGCAACTCACTTTGTGGCCCGTCGAAGAGAAATCCGTGCCGGATGGATCGCCACATAATCAACTTGTGCACCTCCTTGGTGCGCAAACCAACCCGCTCCAGTGGCGTATCCCCATATCCAAAGTTCTTCACAGGCTGCAGCTCGTAGCCAGTGATGGAGAAGGGGTTGTCTACTCTTTTCAAGTATCCAGCCTCCACCAGCTTGGTTTCCATCGATCTTTTGCTCTTGCCGAATGCGCGAGTGCTCTCGTACTCTGCCCATGTCTCTGCTGTTTCACGTGACAACTTGAGCACGGCAAAGCCTTGAAATAGCAGCACAACCAGCAAGAGGAATGTCGCCATGTGCACGTACTCGAAGGTTTCAGGCAATATGTTGTACTCTTCGGCCCCGAGAGAAATTAGTGGCGTGTCTTCCGGCAGTAGGTGGGTCAGCACAAACAATAGCAGACCGATGAATCCGAGAATTGTGATCTCTCTGAACAGCGCATCCAAGATCTCTCTCCCAATCTTATCGCCAGCGATCTTCAGTCGGTTGCGCAGCCACTTCTCTGCTTTCTCAAACCCCGTTGACAAGATGACGATGATGAAGACTTCACCAAAGAAGAAGCTTGGTCTACTGTTCACTTCTTCAGCCAGGACGCTGAAGACGGCCCTGCGCTGCACAAGCTGTGCACCTTCTGTTCTGCTTTGTCGGGAAGAAATATGGAAAAGATTTGCCGGTGGCAACTTGGTGAGGCTTGTGCCCGAGGAACGAGCAATGCCGGCAGATTCGTGAACCCCAGGGGTGAATGCCTTCAGCAAACATCCTGGGACAGCACAACATAGTAGCACGTACAGAAGGTGCACCCTGCGGCCATGAAGTGGAAAACGGCGCCGCATTTGCATTTGTTGAACGCTCCCTCTCGTTGGGGCTGGTTGGAGACTAAACCTAGGGATGAGGGCCTGGGCGAGTTGGGGGGGTGGGGATAGACAAGGGCGTAGGTAGGTCCGGGATGGTGTGTTGACGAGGCCATCCTTCAATTACATCCATGTTCTGCCTATCTTTTGAGCCTCCTTCGCGGGCACGTCACATCAGAGACATTTTCGTCACCCTCCGCAACGGAAGCGCAGAAAGCAAAACCTGAAAGGCGCCTGGGCCATCAAAGCTTTGCCTTTGGAGCATCAGACCTCGAGAGTTTGGCCAAAAAGAAAGCTTGAAAGGAAGTCTGGCGGGCCCGGATGCCCCACCTGGCATCGCACGAGGAAGCCACGACAGCCGGGCTGGCGCTGGCGCTGCCCGTCGCAGCCAGTCCGGCCTTCAGAGCGTGGAAAGAATCTAGGCTCAACTTCTGCACTAGGCAGCACTGCCTTCTCGCTGAACAGAGATGCAGGGGCTATTGTCCCGTGCTTCTGTCGGAACTCGATGATCTGATCTACAGTCACCTGCCCGAGGTCGTAAGTTCAGGTCTGTGAAGAAACGACTGGCCGGCTGGCGTCACGAGGCCCGGGCGATCGGAATGTTGTTTGCACTAGCAAAGGCCAGGCTGTCGTCGCGACGATACATCGTGCCATCATCGTGCATCTGCAAGAAGCGCAATGAAAAATCCGCAGGCGCAGGCAAGTGGCAAGTGCAGGCAATGCAGCTCTGAAGAGAGGTCCGCAGGTCCGCACCAGCTCCGCAAGGAGCCCCACTGGAGTCAGGCCGGCGAGGCGGCAGAAGTCGAAGGTCGACTCGGTGTGTCCTCCGGGGCGCTCCAGAGCTCACGGGCCGTGGCCTACATCCAAGGAAGCCGGAAGCCGCGAAGCACCAGCTTGCCAGCTTGCTGTGTCTGGCTTTAGCTTCAGCTAGCTTCTGCTAGCTTGAGACTTCGGAACTCACGACAGCCTGTCCTGGACGTTCGAGCACCCCACCGGGCCGAGCACAAAGAGGGAAGAGATGGCCCGGCTTGGAAAAGTCCTCTGAATGTCTTGGCACAGCAAAGAGTTCACTTTTCTGCGAGATCAACAAAGAGGGCCTCTGCCCGGTTGTTTAGGTCGCACATCGCCTAGGTTCTTTCTGCTCCTTCTGCTCTGGCTCTACCCGACATGAAAGCTCAAGCGCCAAAGGCAACGTCATTGCCAAGGCGCTCGGGCGGTGATGGCGCGATCTGATGCAGACACGCCTGTCGAAGTGGAGGGCAGGAAGTCCTCGGAGGCGCATGCAAGAAGCGCTGTTGACGCGGCTCGCCTCAGGATCTCATGGTCCAAGGCCGCGGCCGTAGACACGTAGAAGTTTGTGGCGTTGGCGTCAGTGTTTCTCTGCGTGGCCTGAGCGGGCGTGACCGACCCATCCCATCCCAGATCTCTCGGTCCCAATCTTGCGCGACATAACCTGAAACGAATGAAGGGAGGCGCCGCGGCGCTTCTCCAGATTTTCCGCATCGCAAGGAATTCGTCTGGCATACTGTTGCCTTTGAGCTCATTGCATTTGCTGCATGCACAAACCAGGTTCACCGTCTTGTTCGTGCCACCTCGACATAGCGGAATCCAGTGGTCCACAGTGTCACCAGGTGCACCACAATACCAGCACGTCTCAGAGTCACGTGCCAAGATCATGGCACGGACCTGAAGAGGCATTTTCCAGCGGCTTTGCGATCGGAGTTGCAGGATCTCAGGCGGCTTCCACTTGGCCAAGTTGCCTGAGAAGGCGTGCACAATGAGGCACACGAAAAAGGAAAGACGAAAGACATCAGCACCTGAAACACTGGACGGACTCTCTCGAACGAGCCAACGGCACCCCCGCATTGCCAAATAACTCTGAGAGCGAGAGTTGGCCACGGATAACATCCCAAGCTGCTCCTGCATCCTAGCTCAGAGTATGCAGTGGCACAGTGGCCAAATGTCACACCACGGGCCTTATATGGAGTAAGCGCGCATATTTCCCCCCCCCCTTTCAACCATGTTTGGGCCACCGGCAGCCTGGTCCTCGGACTGCAGCCCCCAGGGCTTCCAGCGCAATTCCCAGGGGATGAGCCTCCTCCGGGGCACCGCGCGCGACGAGCTTTTCCTCTGAAGGGAGACGACAGCTCAGGCAATGCTAGCAGTCAACTCCCTTATGTCTCGACGAGGTGCACCACAACCCCCTTTTGCTTTTATGTTGCAGGTTTCTGTCTTGTGCACTTGGGTAGAGGAAGTCGTAATCAAGGCTCTCAGGGCTCGAAGTCTGAAAAGCAGACTCCCGCAAGAATGCTATCGTACGGAATCACACTACACAGTTGTCTCTCTACCGGGCCACTGAGAGCAGCATCTGTGCATCCCAGTCTATAGCGATCTGCAGTTGGTCAGTGTGTGGTAGTGGAATTTCTCTCGGGCGGGCACGGGCCCTCAAGGCACTCCCATTGGATGCTAGCAATGAAGGGGCATCCTTAATCCGTAAGTACCAGACGTTAACAGAAAGCAGTATTGGCTCGTACGAGCAGCTAGCTTTGCGGAGTGCAACTGTGGTCTTTGTTGCGGATGCCCACTCAAACAAAAAAGGTCATGGCGGTCACGGTAGGCAAAATGCCTCTCCCCACGGCCTGTGTTGCCAACTGCCAGACCTGGGCCTTGCAATGAAGGCTCCTTGCAGTCGAGTCTCGGGATTTTCAATCAAAACAGTGAACAACAAACTTGCCCTGCAACACGGTACGTTCATACATTGCTTCAGGCTCATTCTGGGGCGTCTGACGAGTCATGGAGCTTGGCCCCGAAAGACCATCTGTCAAAGGCGGGCGCTGGCTGAGATTGGAGAGGGCAGACCCCCTGGGAAGAGGACCCGCCACTTCGCCCAGCTTCAAAATGGAAACATGGAACCGGAGGCGTCTCGAGGCATCTTACAGCCGGGATTCAGTGATTTGACAGAGCTGGCGGCAATGCAGAGCGTGAGTCTGGTTTCAGACATGCTGCGGCTAAGATGCATCTTCAAATCGAAACCACACGCAAGCAAAATCTCGATATTTGCTTGCATGAGAGAGGAACCCTACAGAAGCATGTCCATCAGGGTCTGTCCGAAAGAGTACAGCACAACAGATAACAAGCTGACCGCAGTCACATGAAAAAACTTTGCACTGGGAGGTGCAGGCAGTTGGCCACGCTCCATTACATGACCGAGCTGGGGAAGGGAGGAAAGGTCCACCGCCATCCGGTCATGCAGAGCTTGCCCCCTCCGCAGTGCAAGTCATTCTCTCGACAGCACATTCCCCATGCATGCTTCTGCTGAAACAGGACTGAGCATCTGCCAGGCAGTTGCGCACGTAGTGCCTCAATCTGTCCCTTCCCTTCGTCAGAAACCATGACAATTGCGCAGACTGCATGGCAAAGGCTTGAGTCACATCCTGGCGAGACAGCCTGCTGGCTCATCAACGTCTGAGATGACAAGCAGTCCTTGGCAACCTCAGCACCAGAAACTCTGGAAAGGCGCACTTCCAATTCTAGTGTTCAATGATTGCGTTTGTGTCCGAGTCACCCCCTGTCGAGGCCCAGTCCGTAGATTGTGTCCAGTCCATATCCAAAATGAAACTACCAAACACCTCGCGCTCAGCACATGGTGATGTCCAACGGTGCACAGCAGACTTGAGTCGTGGACTGGCTGGCTTGGTCTAGATGGCTCGAACCAGCAGCTGCTTTTGAAGAAACAAGGCCTCAGCCGTGATGGAAACGCACGGAGGGTGCTATGGCAGCCAATTCTATCCCGAGCGGGGCTTACAACGGATTGAAGCTTCCGCTACGGTCTGTTTGAGAAGGCAGGATTGAGGACCGTGCAAGACAACCACACAGAAGCAATGTTTTGATGCCGCCCAGGACTCGCAAGCCTTAGTCCAGAGGCGGATGTAGCAGGCGAAGAATGACTCGAAGCTGGGCTTACGAGGCTTCAGGAATTGCGAGCAGGGCCTGTCAGTTTAGGGTCTCGAGATGTCTTGGTCGTAGAGGTAGGAGAACTGCCAAGCGGCTAGTGGCTTCACTCGATGTGAGGAAAGTCCACCGCTTCCATATGTTTTTTTTCATAAGCGTAACTGCCACGCATCTGCGCCCTTCATGCTGGTCGATGAACCAGTGACTCTCATGCGGATTCACCATGTCATACAAGTCCGAATCTATGACTTGCCCTCGAAGCTTCAATCCAACACGTAGCTTGCTCTCAGTCAGATCGATCTCTACGTGTTTTTCCTTGACGGTTTCATCCACGGGAACGTATAGCCGAATCTCTCGTCCGTCCTTTCCAGCCTCTTCCCACTGGTAGCTCATGAAGCGCCGGGCCGTTCGAGCTTGGCTCATGCGAGACAAACTTCTCTTCGAGGGCTGAAACCACCGAGTGACCAGGGTCGCCATTGCCATGGCCAGCATCGACAAAAGACCTGCAGCCCCATTCGAGCGCTTCGCCTGAGGCTTGCTTTCAATAATCGTTTCGGCAGTGGCTGTAGCCGTTGCTGTAGCCTGCCGTGCTGTGCGCACTGGCTCCCTGAGGTTCAGGCTGCCCTGCGATATCGGCGGGAGAGGGACTTTGGGCCCTTGCATCTGCAGATGTAAGGCATCTGCGACCTTAACGTCCGACCAGCAGACTACCAGCGGCCTAGCATGTGCATTCTGCCGACAAAACTCGTGCAGCCGGGGCACTTGTGATGCAGCATACTTCCGGGCGGCCACTGAGTTAAAGGGTCCAGAGCGTGGCAAGCGGCTCATAATCGCAATTAGCTAGTCTCACGTTGGAGCTCTTTAGATGGTGGAGCACTTGCCCAACTGTCCGTCTTGGGCCAAATTGGCTCCTTGCTACACCTATCTGCATCTGCACGGCTCACTGTTCTATCAACCCTCTACCGTGGACTCTGCGGTATGCCTGTGGGTGCATCGGTGCGTCCAAGACTCCGCAATGCCCGAGATGCGGCCTTGGAGGGCTTTACGCATGGCCAGGGGCGCGTTGTCGTGGAAAGACACCAGGATGCTTTCCAGGGCAGTAAAGGCATCACGTGATGCAGGATCCCCGGCAAGGGACAAGGCATTGCCAAGCAAACCGAGTATCTGTGAGACGCTCTTCTCATCACGTAGAGCTCTTGGAAGAAATGAGTTGCAAACGGCTTTGGCCTCTTCTATGGCCTTGTGAACAGCTTGCGAAGCTTCACCCTTGCCACCGGGCCCTCGTACGAGATCGGCAGACACGGACGCAGTGTGGACCCAGTGGCGCACCACATCACCAGTCGATTGGATGTTGAGGCTTTCAAAATACGCTGTCGTCTCCCGCTTCGCTGCTCGCATCAATGTCACGATCCGAGAAGCAGCGGCACTTCGCCACAGATAAGCAGACGGCCTGACAAGGGCAACTTACACGGACACGCTGGAAAGACTAAGGCGTGATGACTGTGTTGTGTGGAATCATACAAGTATTATTCAATGCGAAGGGATACGTCGGACACGAGAACTCTGGAATACATTTTACGAAGTGCCCTGCTGGATGTGTAGCGAGAGAACCCCTATCACAGGGAATTCGGCCAAGTGCAACGACCTGCTTAAACTGCCGTCGGATGTCGGAAGGCCGACAGCTCACACCAGCTCTCTCCATCCGTGAGCTTCCCTCGCGTGCTTTTCAAGAGAGCCCGACTTGCCGACCCTGCCTCTGGCTGGACAGTGACCCACAGACTACGCAAACTGCGGCAGCCAGGACCGCTTCGCATGGCAAACCAGTTTCGGCCGACTGCACACACTTCAGGAAGCGGCCAGAACAGCTACTAGCCGGGATCTGCAGCGATCTGGGTCTGCAGGTCCAAGAACCGATGAAACCGGCACGAGGCGCCGTCGGAGCCCACATGATGGAGCACCACCCAAATCAGGCATGTCACCGGCTTCTTCCTTCAGCTACGTTGCACGACTGCTAGTATGGCCAAGAATGTACAGCCAAGAATGTACGGCGATGATTTTTAAATACCCGGACATCTAAACAAGTTAAACAGGTGTGTCATACTACTTTCGTGGGCATTGTCTCTGGGCCGCCCAATTTTTAAACACACGGAAGACAACAACACGAGACTCCAGCCCGCAGACTCCGTCCTCCAACCTTCGCCTCTCCAGCCCTCTTCCCAGCCCTTCAGCCCGCCAGCCTTCCAACCCCTCCTGCCATCCAGCCAGCCTTCCAACCTTCCAGCAGCCTTCCAGCCTTCCAGTTTCAGCCCCTCCAGCCTTCCAGCCCCTCCAGCCTTCCAGCCTTCCACCCTTCCAGCGCCTCCCTTCCAGCCCCGCCAGCCTTCCAACCTTCCAACCTTCTAGCCTTCCAGCCCTCCAGCCATCCAGCCTTCCAGCCCCTCCAGCCTTCAAGCCTTCAAGCCTTCCAGCCTTTCAGCCCCTCCAGCCTTCCACTGCGCAAGTGCCCCGTACCTTGCAAAATATGCCTGAGAATGACGGGCTGGAAGGCTGGAAGGCTGGAGGGCTGGAAGGCTGGAAGGCCGGAGGGCTGAAGGCTGGAAGGCTGGAAGGCTGGAAGGCTGGAAGGCTGGAAGGCTGGAAGGCTGGAAGGCTGGAAGGCTGGAGCGCTGGACGGCTGGACGGCTGGAAGGCTGGAAGGCTGGAAGGCTGGAAGGCTGGAAGGCTGGAAGGCTAAAGGCTGGAAGGCTGGAAGGCTGGAAGGCTGGAAGGCTGGAAGGCTGGTAGGCTGGAGGGCTGGAGGGCTGGAAGGCTGGAGGCTGGAAGGCTGGAAGGCTGGAAGGCTGGAAGGCTGGAAGGCTGGAGGGCTGGAGGGCTGGAAGGCTGCAAGGCTGGAAGGCTGGAAGGCTGGAAGGCTGGAAGGCTGGAAGGCTGGAAGGCTGGAAGGTTGGAAGGCTGGAAGGCTGGAGGCTGGGAAGGCTGGAGGACTGGAAGGCTGGAAGGCTGGAGGGCTGGAAGGCTGGTAGGCTGGAGGGCTGGAAGGCTGGACGGCTGGAGGGCTGGAAGGCTGGAGGGCTGGACGGCTGGAAGGCTGGAAGGCTGGAGGGTTGGAAGGCTGGAGGGCTGGAAGGCTGGAGGGCTGGAAGGCTGAAAGGCTGGAGGGCTGGAAGGCTGGAAGGCTGGAGGGTTGGCAGGCTGGAAGGCTGGAGGGCTGGAAGTAAACACCCGGAGCTAAAACATACGGATAAAAACAGGTGTCTCATACTACCTCTGTTTGGATCTTGGGTTGCCCGCCCCCCACATGTTTTAAAATTCTCACCGTACACTGGAGTACAACAGCATGTGGTGAAAGCCACCGCCCTGGCAAAGTTGCGTCGACAAGTCCAAAGGCTTCACAACTGCAAAACCCAAACGGCAGGCACGACACAGCAAGAGGTGATACACTGGGGCAGAGGCAGGGTGGAGCCCGAATTTCTCTAATCTCGCCTGGCATCAAACACCAGCTGGCAGACTGCGACTTCTGCTTCCCGGAACCATGGCCTTGTCCGCAACGATACAAACAATTCCCGTCGTGTGGCGGATTGCAAAGGCCATTTGCGAGGCCTGTCAAGGCCCGCCCGTCGCCGAGCACTTCTACATTCGCATGTCCATGTGGCTACAAGCCAGGATTGAGGTATGGACGGTGACCATCTCTGCCGAAAAAACGAGATCACATTCATCCTGGAACATGAGCAGTGGGTGCACAAAGCGAGGTGTTTGACGCTGCAAGCTGCACAGGATCCTCGCGCTCGTCACTGTCCATAACCATCACAAATTCACCTCGTCTGAAGGCTCGCAGCGCTTCCTGCCAGCCCATAGCACCGACAGGAAACTCAACGAAGGACCCGGAGAAAACGAAGAAGCCTGCATGGAAGACCAAGGCATCGCGAAATCCCACAAGGCCAACAGCCTGCACCAAAAAGGCAGATCACAGCACGCAAGACAGAACTGACGTTTTTGGTGTCCCCAAGGCAGATTAGTCCTCCCCTGGACGGATCGGTTCCGCCTTGATGGCAGACGGGGCAGCGACAACGATCTCTAAGCAGCTGTCCATTCGGCGGCGGTGCAGGCAGAGAGCGCTGACAGGCAAACGCCCAAAGTCAATTCTGAATGCTTCGGGCGCTCGTGCAAATGTCCTCTTGGCCATTTTGCTGCACCCTGCTCATGAAACGTTGATGCCTCGCTGGGCAGCGCCTGGGCGCAGCTTCGAGGATGTGAAACGGCCAATTTAAATCGAAATAGGGCTGATGAATTGAGGATGTTAAGCATCATACCATACCCGTCCAGGTCAGCAGATCATGGCCATTTGACAATAATGCTGCTGCAGCAGCTACCTACCTACAGTACTCGCGGTTTCACTTTGCTTCTGCACGAAGTATGTTTCGCACCTCTTGCACCTGCTGTGCAGCAGGGTATGCTGATGTGACTGCTGTGCACACTGAAACAGAGACCAGACCTTCTTGTAGCCACCATCTGCATGTGCGTTGGCTAACCGCCGACAATCGTCTTCAGCGATGTCCTTCTCAAAGCGGAGGGGTCCTGCGGAGGTGCCAATCTTCAAACTCTGCTCCGACCATGAGGTACGGTACGGTCCTCTGACACAGATGGTGCCAGGTCGCAAAGGAGGCAGGCGTGGAACGTAGATCTCAGACAGGTAAGTTTGTGCCTGAGAGGTGTGGGCCAGGGAAGGACTCCAGTACCAGGCTCATCAGGGTGCGGACCCCTGCTCGAGTCACGATGCCCTCGACAACCTTCGTTTCAACCTCTCCACCTTCGCGGAATTTCGACAAACAGTACAGTGACTACTGCTAGCGGCCAGCGCCTTTGGAGTCGGAGTTGTCGGCGGGCGTCTCGTTTTTGGTCGGAGGATCCTTCAGCTCCGAACGGGCCACTGCTACGCTCAGACTAAAAGCCCTGAGGCTCAAAGATGTCCTCGCTGGGCTGGGACCCGGAACCGGATTTCGGCTCCTGCGCTCAGCGTCGCGAAGCTGGCCACACTTCCGGAGCATGTCTTCCATGCCCTGCATGTCCCGAGGCAGGGGAGATCGTCTGTCGCTGTTCGTCCTCGACTGAGCAGCCGCTGCATGAAACAAGTCTAAACATCACACGCGATCTCGCTCCTGCCACCTGAGCCTTCCGCACGTGGCCTGCCAACAGCAAGATTTCGCGCCACGCATTGCTGCATGAAGCGATTCATCGTGCTTAACAGTGCCTCGAACTGCGGGTGAGCGGCGACCGTGAGGCACGCCGCCTCGTCAAAGTAGCTCTTCGAGAGAAGCTTAACTGCATGATGGGAGCGATCGAAGCCAAGTAGCTGTCGAGAGTCGTCTCGACGTCTGAAGGACGGAGACCTGGCTGGGCTGGACGTCTTGCCGAGGCTAACAAACTGCATCGCCGCTGTTTGCGCAGCTTCCGGCATGACCTGCGCCGGTCTCGGCCCCCTCCCCTTCGGTCACCGCGGCTCCTGCAAGATACGACGCAGACGGTCCGAGCGTTGAGATTCTTGGTGTGCCTCGACCGCGATGGAGAGAAGTAGGGCATCCTGGAGATCTCGGAGCTGCTCTTGCAGGGAAACCTGCCCGACCGCTTTATGCGATTTCTGCTTCCGCTCTGCGAAGCTGTCAAGGTCGCCTGTGAGCAGCTCAATCTACCATTTCTAAAGGCATTCTGCATGCCCTTTGAAGCTTCAAGGCTGCGTAAGGTTCTTCAACTGGCAGCTGCATGCCAATGCAAGCTAACTGCAACATACCACTGACTAATTAAACCATGCTTTGAAATGCTACACTTCCCACGAGATCACGTTCACGACTTGAGTGTGGCTCTTGAGGATCCTGCAGGAAGTGCGGAAGAAGTGCCCCAAGCGGACAAGACGCGAACCGTGTCTCGAGCGCAAGGCGAAACTTTTCTCCGCTCGATGCTCTGAGTCGCTTCGCTTTCTCTTAACCCTGAAACTTGCACATGATGCGCTGCTTTTAGAGATACTTGTGCCTCGAACGACTGCTATTTCACCCACTTGTATTTAACTGGAACAGGGGACTCATTTCGAGCAGGATTCATGCTTTTCGTGTGCTAGATCTGCCCCAGAAAGCCGCGAAAGCGCTGCCCACAGCGGCGCTCCAGACCTAAGGTGAAAACGAAAAACTGGACCTGAACTTTCCCGGTCGGGAAGGCTAGTGCCCGAGGCCAGGGCAACACTGACCGCAGCTGGCACGCGGACCTTGCAGCGAGTCGACTGAAGTATAGCGAAGTGTAGGTCGGATCTGAGACAATGACGAGGAAGTTTTGAAAATGGAGCACAGCCAACAGGTAGCCCACGGCCTGCGAAAGCAGAAAAAGGTGCGGCTTTTCTCGGCTCTCTCAGCTCCGAGTCTCGGACGCTGCTCTTCATGGAGGTTTCGATGGCAACCGTTCGGCATGCTGCAGTGCTTAACCTCAGGCCGAGACAGCAGGGTCGCACCATCCCACAGCCCACACCATGCCGTGTCGGATCACATCAGGCACACTCTGATCTTTTCCACGTTTTCTTCAGGTGCGCTCGCAACTCTGCATCCGAGGGCTCGTGGGAGGGAGCTTGGCCCAGCCTGACTGGATGGTCGTCCTCGGAAGGGGAAGGAATCGGAAGGACAACTTGCCCGAGAAAACTGACCAACAGCTGCAAGACAACTTCACTACTCGTATGTCCGTCCCAGCATCGGTGGTGTAAAAGAGGTTAAGCGTCAGTCGGCCATTCAACGGATTGGACGACAGTTGCTGAGCCGCTGTTTTCGGAATATGCGCCTTGTGCAAGACCCAGGCTGGATAAAAGATGACGCGATTCTGCAGCACCTCTCGCTGGAATACGAGTTGCGCGTGCGATTCCAGAGGCCCTCTGCCAGATGCGTATTGGGCCAACGACAGCAGCTTGTACTTGGCCATGTCGGGGAGACTTCGAAGTTGCATGGTGCCCCCAAGTTCATTCGCCGCATAGAAGCCGACACTCGTTCCCCGAAAGTCATTGAGACCCATAGTAGCAGCGAAGCTGGCAGCATAGTCAATGTGGGGGAACTTCTGGCTTGAAGTCCAGTTATCTTCCCCTTCTGTCAGCAAGCGAATAAACGAGGCAGCTGACGTTGCAGGAAGATGAAACAAGTTCAAAAGCTGGTGGTCGCGAACAGCGGGTGCGAGACAGGTCTCAACATCGCGGCGCAGGGCACTCGGCAGCATGGAGTCCAGGCCAGGAAATGCCAGCCTCGAAGGCTCAAAGACGAGCTGCGGCCGTCTCCGGCCTCCAAAAGGCACATGGCTCAGACAGACACCAAGACTCCTTTGCACCCGTCCAGGCCTTGAGAAAGAAGCAGGCGGTGCAGAAGTGCAGGCAAACCGCAAAGGAGGTTGTCGATGCTTATCACACTGGGTCCATCGAGACCTAGATGAAAAACATCGTAGCCACGACCACAGCACTGGCGCCGGGTGGATGCCAGGGCACGGTACTCATGCCATGTTGGCACGGAATTTATTCCGGCCATGGGGCAACAGGAACGTGCAGGCAAACAGGATGACCCAGGCACCGACCATTGTGGGCGACCAGCCATTCGCAAGCACTGCAGGCTCCGCAACTCTTTCGAATTCACATTGCCGTCCTACTGGGCTCTCGCATTCGCAATTCTTGAGATTCCGTTCCGGACGGCATCACGGAGGCAGTTTTTGTTCCTCCACTTTGTGCAGTGCGCTGAGGCATCCACCCTGCCATTTGCGAGAGCACGTAGCCAGACAGGCCTGGCACAGGCACTCCTCCGTCTCTTCAGCCTTGCGCTCTCAGCCCGGAAGGGGGGCCCACCCCGGGCCCACCTCCTAAAAGATGAAGGCCTAGGATCGCCAGCTGCAGGGGCGCGCCTTTGGAGGCAAGCCGAAGAATTTCCTGCGGCGCTGGGTCTGAGCTCGAGGCAGGAGCCTGCTGAGAGGATGTAAGGTCGGCAGGAAGCCACGGAGGACCCCACCTGACCCAAAGACGGAACCAATTCGGCGAAGGCCAGGCTCAGCCCAGCACCCGGGAGCCCGGCGATGATGCAGGTCGCGAACACCCCCAGAACGGGAGTAAGCTTTGCTGCCCTGAAAGCAAAAGGAGGAGTCTGGCGTTGCTCGCGCTTCTCTTCTTGGCAATACTTGGGGCGAGCCTCTCTGAGGTGTTTGGAAGCCACTGTTTGAAGCCGAGGCCAAGGACCGTGGGAGCCAGCACCACCTGACCCGAAGTAACCGAAAGAACCCAAGGAACCCGAAGTTCAGCTGCAGGTCCCCACACAGTTGATCTGAGATCTCGACCTTCACGGTGGACAGGATAATCCCCACCGCATCGACGGAGACAACTGTTCCCAGCAGTAACTTGGCCTTGGCAAGCAGTCACTTGCAGTCGTGCTTGGAGTGCTTCGAGCTCAGCTCAGAGCCAGCAATGGCGTCGCAACGATGCACAGCAAGGTAGTGGACATCGTCATCAAGACACTGAGGGCCACATCCCCTTTCGCCTCACGGCGCTGAGGAAAAGAACAATACCGAAATGGTTGACCTGCCAACGCCTGAGGCCACTGCTATCAGCGTGCACAAATTTGACGTGTGGCCACCGTTGATCGACCCGATCAGCACCAAGCCAGCAAGGGTTGGTACATCGGCCCTGCGGGCGAGGACATGGCCCCCAGCGGCTGATACTCGACACCCCACATAAACTCGCTACCCCACGTGGAAAAACTCTTCTGTGCTCCGGAAGCCCGTCTGCACCTGATCAAGACGGCCAAAGTGTATGCCAGCGCCTGCCAGCTTGGTAAAGCTTGGGAAAGCTCTTGCCGAACCACCCACGAAGACAACGGGCTTAGGCTACTACCGGCATGAGCAAGAAGCAGGCGGCTGCATTTATGACCTTGTGACGTACGGGAAGGAGTCATAGGTCAGGGGTCGGTCGGGTCGCGTGCAGCCAAGCGTTTACTGCAGCTCAGCTCTTCACCACGGCTAGCCAGTTTCTGATGCTCGAGCGAAAATCATCCACTGATGTGGTCAAGCCTCCGGGCTCTGGGCCGAAGGCAAAGAATTGGGGTCCAGGGAGTCTAGTGAGGCGAGAGACCCACGCTGAACATTAAGAGACCCAGAAGCCATGTGAACGATTCTTGGTTCACCCAAGTGAAAGTCCTTAGCTGCGGTCGAGGTGACGGCTTCCATAGCAAACAGGTGAAGCCCTGAACTGTCGACCAAGCATCTCTGGGCGTGACACAGAAACCAGAGTCACGAGAACCAGCCAGAGCACAAAGTAGTCATTGAAGCGAGAAACAAACCTCGTCCAAACATCAGGAAACAAGTTCAGCCCTCAGGTTTCTTGTTGACTGTTGTTCAGCTGTCAGGCATTCAGCAGGTCTTGACAGGCGGTGGATCCGGCAGAAAGCAGTCTCTGCGATTTGTGCTGCTGGGACGCCGCTCAGCCACATCGAAGGCCTCCAGACGAACGTGGCACATCAACTGTTCTTGCCCAATGCAAGCCGAAAACCGGAAATGCATGAAAACCTGAGGGTTGGAAAACAGCGCCAGAGCAGCAGGGCCTTCTCCGCGGTTGCCCGCCGAGCAGCCCGAAAATTGGGTCGACAAGCACCGAGTTTGTTGAAGCTGCCAAGTGCCAGCAGACTTGCCGACAGTCTCCAATGCCAGGCCGGACTGCGCCGAACGGGATCCCAGCGTTGCAGCTGCAATGATCTGCGAGGCCTAGCGTCACTTCGTGACGGGCTTCGGTCGAACGGCGAGTGATGCCCGCACCGCTGCACAGGAGAGACGCTCTGCATGATATAAGACAGCTACATTTCCAACTTTGCGATGAAGAGTCTCTTGCGCAGGAAGTACTTGGTACTGACATGGTTATCCGGCACTGGCTCCTAACATGTACCTACTAGTAGTCATAGTCAGAAAATGAGAAAGAAGGGCATCGAAATCATGGAGGGATTCTTCCATCATGCTCGTGGTGTCTCTGCCGGGATCCATGCAGGCTTGATCCTCGTCCATCCCTCCAATGGCTGCGGACAAGCAAGCTATCGCCGCCTCAAGCTAACATGCAGAGCCTTCGGGGACGAGGCTTGAAACCAAAGCCTCTTGCATCATGCCAGTCTGGCAGTCCGGAGCTCAAAGCAATCATGCAGCTGCGAGCCGTCACGCCGGTGGCACACCTCAAAGAGGTGGACGACACCGTCAAACGAAAGCAAAGACGCGGCAGCTCATTCGGCGGTTCCCCCGGACCTCATGTGTCGTGTTCGTCTTAAGTAGCGCCATGCGTAGAGGATTACACCCAATGCGCCGCAGTCGCTATCATTCACCGTGGTCCTGTCGGACCTTCGTGGGTGCGAGAGGTGAAACCATGTGCCCCGTGCCGTGCGTTTCCCGCCTGTGTTAGGCAAGCCAACGCCTCACCACTCACAGAGCTGCTTTGCAGGCCTGCCATACTAACAAACAACCAGCAGAACTGCTCGCGGAAACCGAGCACGGACGAGTTTTTTGTCTTGTGTCACACGGTACCTCCTCGACTCCTGAAGCAAAGCGTCTTTAGAGTCCCTGGCCTGCTCTTTTGCCTCTGCCTGTCCAGCGAAGCCGTCGTGGCCGACTGAGCACATATAATCGATCACCTGGAACGTCAAATCGGGAGAACAAGCGCATCAGCTCACTCTCAAAATACCAGGCCGAGATAAACAAACACTGCTGATGCTCGCAAGACAGCGCTTGTTCGGATTTTAGAGCAGTATACGCATTATTGATGCAGCGGCTTTAAGCCTGTCACCCTTTTAGTATCAGGCAGCATCAGATGTAGAACTGTAGAGCACTCAATATACCGAGTGGCGAGGCCGACAGGAGCATCCGGAAAGCGGCCTTGCCAGTCCTGCGCGAGTGCGAGGAAAACCCTCCAGTTTTCCTCGCACTTCTGCCGCTGTCAGACAGCCCTCCTCCGTGCACTCCACCCGCACGGCAGCCGCGATGCAGTCTCCCCAGAGCCTGAGTGGACCGCATGGTCCCCTTACCACCGAAGGACAGACAGTGTAAGGGCCGGACCCGGCTAGGAGGCCTGGCGCAAAGCCAAATCGGACAAAACTCGCACAATTTAAACATGCGATCAATGGAGCCTTCGCCATCACACTCCGGCTCCACGCTGGCGAGCACGTCTTTCCAGCTTCCGTCCGTGAAGGCTGCGTACATGTCGACAGCCTGCGGCGCAGCCGGTGGGGCTGGCGCTCCAGAGTCACCGTCGAACTCCTCGTAGTCTGCATCTGACGCATTGAAGCTGTTGACGAAGTTCTTGTAGCCATCTCCCAACGGCTTGTCTGGAATGGAAATCTGGTCGATGCTCTCGGGGAGCGGATCCGCATTGAAGTGGCCAGGGTCGTTGATTCGAGTCGTCATCTCCCGGACGAAGTCGTTCCAAGTGATTTCACCGGTACCACTGACATCCCATTCGTGGAAAGTTGCCACGAGGTCCGGACCATCATCTCCAGGTGGGAAGCCACAAGCATTGGTCAGGTCCCACAGGCCGGGAATGTCCAGATTCGGAGCGCAGCTGGACAAGGAGCCGTAGTACAAGAAGGCGTTACCCATGGCCTCGGCGAGCATATGCGAGCATGCTTGTAACATGCCGCGCCACAGTCACGGAACACAGAACAGTCGCAGAATGCAGCTTGGGCTTGGTCCTGCTGGTCCTCCTCGCCGGGAATGATGTTGTCACCCTTTTCTCGGCGAGCTTTGCAGAGCTTGTTGAAGGTAGTCGTGAATTTGAGAATCTCAGCTCACCAAAGTGGAACACCAAAACATCCCGAAATCCACATCTCTGCCTAAGAGTGTGTAATCATGTAACCACCTGTGTAGAGCGCTCCACACTCCGGGCCCCCGGGCTCCATCCTCTTTGGTCATAGGTGGCGCGATGCTGAGGCCAACCTCCTGGCCGGAGAAGCGCTCGCAGCGCCGATTCGCCAACCGAACCAATGTGTCCTGTGAACGGATGCAAAAGCAGTTTGAGCCGCACCCTCAAAACAACTGCCGGCTCGGGGCTCCAAAGGGTGCATGGAAGGATCATGACTCCAGAAGAGAACTTCTGCCAGAATGTGCGGGGAAACGTGCTTTAAGCCTTTGGGTCCTTGTAATCATTGTCCCCGCACTCGTTGGCGATCCACGCAGCCAGACCCCGACCATCTAGCTCCTTGAAGTGCTCTCGGACTTCATCCATGCGCTCTTTTGCAATGCACATCCAATTGATCAACAGGTTGTCAGATGTTCCCAGGCCCTTCATCGAGGATAACAAGGCTTCTGCCCATACTCTTGGAGGAGGCTTGACCAACGCGAGGAGTGCACGCTTGTAGTCGCCACTCGTATCACCTTCAATGGCCTTGTAGATGTCACCCCCGTTCTTGATCTCCTTGTACTTGTCCACGAGATCGCGCCGCTGTCGCTCTGAGAGGTGGACGAGCAAGGTGATGAGACCAGTGTCGTCGGTTCCCCAACCCACGATGCAGTCCCGAACAGCACATGCGAGCCGTTCAGAGGGCGACCTCATCAGACCCAGCATAGCCGCCCTGAAGTTGGGTGTCATGAACATGCTCATTCCATAATCCCATGTTTCGCTGTCGATTCTCGCGTAGAGGTCCTCCCCGAACTTTTCTTGGTACTTCTCCTTGAGGGTCTCTATCTGTTGCGGTGTCTTGCCAGCAACAATCTGTATGATTGCCTTTTCATTGGTTCCGATTCCGTCCATGGCCTTCTTCAGATTCTCACAATCCGCATCATAGTCGACTGAGGCCTTTGGGTGTGTGCATTTCAGCACAGCGATGAGGATGTTCTTCAGGTTTCCACTTGTCTCAGACTCAATGTGCTGAATCAGGTCTCGGTTGAACCTTATGCGGTGCTGGATCTGCCGAGCTGCTCTGCTAAACTGTTGGTTAGACCTAGGGTAGCACAGTAGCACACAGTAGTGCATGGAAGGAGGCATCTTCTTGTAGGTTTCCCTGATGACGGCCCGTTCCTGCAGAGGAGCTTAGGCAAAGCGAGATGTTTCACAGTGCTACGGTGAGCAAGCTGCCAAGCTGCCTTGAAAGTGGAGCAGATGATGATTCGAACCAGCTGATCTTCGGATGTGCCCCAGCCAGCCATCGCACCATGCAAGGCGGTTGCGCGACTCTCGGCCCAAGGCATGGCCTCTGTGTACAGCAGCCCCGACGCTTGCGCAGAAACCAAGTCTGGGGCCGTTCCCTGGCCTGGTACTTCAGGACCTTCTTGTAGTTGAAGGAAGTCTCTGACTCGATATGATTCACCAGCTTCCTGCCCCCCCCGAGCTGCTTAGATCAAACAAGGGTCTGAGGGTCAGGGACTCAGGGATGCCTGGCCTCTGGTGGGTCTTTTCGTAAAGGCCATGGATCTCTTCGTAGAGGTTCTCAGGCAAGGTGCACACCTCAGGAACTAGTCAAAGCTCGGGTTTCCCTGAACCAGCAAAGAGAAGCGCTTTCTGCGGCCGTGATGCCAAGCCCGTAAGAGTGTACTCATCTGTGCCCCAGCCGTGCATAGCGTCCCAAAGCCCCTTCACCTCAGAAGAACTCGGCGGATGACAGAACTTATTGCGCTTTGGTTCTGCTCGCGACTACAAAAAACTGAGAGGTGCACATAGAGCTCCACTGGCATGTAGAGAAGAGACATCATGGCATGCTTCCACCAGTTCGTGAAAAAGAAGAAGGTCCCCTTCTCGTTGCATTTCTTCTCCACCTGAGAGGCGATGTTCTGCTCTACTTTCCCTACTTTCGGGCACCCCTAGCAAGCCCAATACCACCCTGCAATAGCTCCGCATTCGCCTTGCCTCTGCTTCTGCAATATCACTCTACACAAAGGAGAACCCATGGACTCCAGGCACGGGCCTCTTCCTTCAAAGAGGCACCATACACCGCCTCGTACAGCTGCGTGTGCCGCTTGATAGCCGTTGCTGGCATCGAGACAAGAACCTCTTTCACCGTGTCAACCTCGGCGCGCTGTGCGACCAGAACCGCCACTTACTACGAATGAAAGAAGACTCTGCATGCTCTGACCGTGCTACACCACATTCTCGACCTGCATGGGCTCCAGACGTTGAACAAGGCATCTTTGCAGCGCTGCGCCCAGTAGACAGGGGCGATACTGATGGTCTCCTGGGACCAGGGGAGAAACTCCGAACTTCGGCGGTGAGGGCAAACAGCTATAGCGGCTGTCTTAACCAGAGTTTTGAAAGAAGTGCGCAGGCTAAAATTCGTGCATCCAACTTTCGTTGTAATTTGTCGGACTTTTTGGGATTGCATTTGTCGTCCTCGGCCCTTAGTCCTGTGAGATACTAGTGCAAAAGTGCAGATCATAGTTCAAGGCTTCAAGGCCTCTGTTGTCTCTTCCACCGGCCACTGCAACATGTGTAGTTTTTCGTGATGCGCATGGACACCCACAGCAGTGCATCACTTACGAAGCGGTCTCCTCGCTGTTTCGTCCTGCCAGCATAAGCAGCGTGTTCTTGTAGTCACCGGAGGTCTCTGACTCGATCCAGTCTTCTAGCATCTTGCCGTTCAGAGTGTGGAAATGCTTTCTGACCTCCATCATGTCCTCTTTCGCCAAAACCATGAAGTTGATCAAGAGGCAGTCAGCCGTTCCCAAGCCTTTCATGGCACCTGTCAAGGACTCCGCCCAAACCTGTGGAGCGGGCTTAACAAGGTTGCATAATGCCTTCTCGTAGGCACCACTGGTGTCGGCCTTGATGTCCTTGAAAATATCGCGTCCAAACTCAAGGTTGTACTCCTTGATGAGGGCGGCCTTCTTGAAGTCTTCCAAGTGAACCAGGCATGTGATGAGTCCCTCATCGTCTGTTCCCCACCCTTTCATGCAATCCCTCACTGAGTGGGCCAACTGCTTCATGGGATGACGGATGCATCCGACTAACCTCAGTGCAAAAAGTTCGGAACGTAGCTCCTAAAGCATCTGCGCTAGCAACCTTCTACTCGAAGATAAGACACGTATCTTTGTAATACCCGCTGGTCTCACTCTTCACCCACTCCAGCAGATCCCTGACAGACCCATCTGTTCTTGCAACTGTCCGTTGCAATGGAGCACCCGAACATCGGCCTGTCATACAGCTCCTTGAACTTCGCGTTCACATCCTCCATTTGCTTCGACCTTTCGGTGATGCAGGAAGAATGGATTCCTGTAAGGCATGATGTTCGGACTGCACACGCAGGCGGCGCTCGCCGTGCTGCCCCTGAGCCGGTGGCGTCTTGTTGCAGATCATGCGCGTGAGGGTCATCTCATCAGTTCCCCATCCTTCCATGGCCTGGCAAGGGGAGTCGCTTCGCACAGTCAGACACGGCCGTGCCCCGATGAAGCCTCCTTCATAGCGGCACAGTCTGCTTCCAGATCAAAGGGCGCTTCTTCCGCCTGCATTTCTCCGCACTTTGGCAAAGCTAGGCATGGACTGATCCAATTTCGGGATGCTACAGAAAGACCGGTCGGTGGCCGAGCCTCCAGCATGACAAGCAATGCCTTCTGGAAATCTCCCGATGTCTCGGACTTGATGTGCTCCAGCAAGTCTCTGTTGTACATGCGCTGATAGGCTTCTTTGACCTCCCTGCGCTCCCCAAAATTCAGCTGGCAAATGACTCGGATCAGCTGGTCTTCAGCCGTTCCCATGCCCACCATGGCTTTATTCAGAATTTTGGCACGACAATCTTCAGGGGCCATTGCTTGCCATGTCATGACCTGGCCCGAGGTTCAAGCGACAGGAAACGGCCATCGGGTCTGCTACACCTAGCACCCACTGGCATACGCTGCCCAAGCGAGCCTTCTTATAGCTGAAGGAGGTTTCACTCTCGATATGCTCGAGGAGGCCCTTCCCCACCGTCTCGTAATACTTCAGGAAGATGGGAATGCGCAGTCGCTCCGGGATGGTGCAAACAAGTGCTGACAACGAGTTCTCGTCAGTGCCCCAGCCCTTCATCGCATCATTCAGGCAACGAACCCAAAGGTCGACTTCGGGTTCCAGCAATGCCTTCATGGCATTCTTCCAGTTGCCAGAGAAGAACCAGCCATCCGACCTGAGAGGGGACTTAAGTGTCCGCTTCGGCCGCGGCCGCTCAAGCGACTACTACAGGGCGCAGCCAAGCTGAGCCTCGCTCTCGGCAGCGGCCTTCTCCACAATCCGATCACTGACGCTTCCTGACGGACACCCCAACAAGGCTCTGTGTTTGGGTTTCGGGGCACCACATGACATGCCACGTGCAAAGCTCCTGCTTTGAGGTTCTCTGCGTACTGAGACACCAATCCTTGAACGGTCATGCCGTCGACGGTGCCCAGCACCTGTTTCCAAACAACCCTGATGCAGTAACCTCTCCCTACCGTGCTGCCAAGCCAGGCCTCGACGAGGCATTTCTCTTCGTGCAGAGAATCGTAGCATCGCTGCGCGATGTTTCCTCTTGCGAATTGTGAGAAAAGAGCGCGAGAAAGCGGAGCAAAACAAAATCAAAGCATCAGTCCGAGGAGCCGAGCACCTCGGCATGGTTGAGTTCTTCCTCCGACATGCCACCGGCATCCGCCCAGGAAGCGAAGGAAGGAAACGGAATGTTGCCGGTGTGGGCCTTGGGCGACCGCATAAACACCGCCAGAGGCGATGCAGACGCATGCAACAAAGAGTGGAAGCTGCTCGAAGACTGTCAAGGACAAGGCGCAGGATCCGCCTTTACCATGATTTCCTCAATTTCTTCCACAGTCGGCTCAGCACCTCTGACGAGCGTCACCATCATGTCGATCTCGCTCTTGCTAACGGTCCCGTTTCCGTCAAGATCAAAAGCTTGGAATTGGAACTTTCGGGCGACCTCCGTCGTGGACGAGTCCAACACAGCCTTTTTGAGGACAGTCAGGGTTTGTGGTTCCCGTCGCTGCCATCGCTTAGCATACAAGTTGCTGTCCTCAAAGTACCTGCAGTCTGGCCAGAGCAAGTTAGATTAAAACGTGCTTCAAGTCGCTTGCCGGTCAACCCTTGACGTGACAGCCCATGACCCTTTTGGAATGCTAATGAAGCGCCAAGCGCCTGTATTCCACGTAGTTGTGCAGCCACGTCTGCAGGTACACCGTGTCGCGGTGCTTCATCTCCATGGGGCGACCTTGCTTGAAGAAGCCAAAAAGCTGCCCGGAAGAATTCTCGTCCTTGTCTGCCAGGGACAACGGCTTCGTGTCCGTCGCGCCTTCCAGATATTTGCCCGTGTCCACGTGCTCAAAGAAAACGTCGTCACCATCGTTGCATACGGCATTGGTTCCATCTTTCCGCCAAACGCGGAAGACACAGGAACCCTTGAGCTCCTTGTCTTCAGCAGCAACCGTCCCGTCTTCTTTGCCTTCGATAGCAGCCTCCGAGTATGTAAAGATTAAATAAATGTGGTCGCCACCCTTGATCTGCGGCGCTACTGCAGCCGTGTCGAAGCGAACGAAAGGCAGGAATCCAGCTCCCTTTGGTCGCACCGGATCACCTGAGCAGGGGCTGGGGATGACAGGCTCAACGAAGGAAAGGGTGAAGTGATGTGAAGTGCCTCGCCCGCGCCTTCGTGGGCTCGGAAGGCTTGGTTGGCCACGGTGAAGCCAGCCCCGCCTTCCACCTTCACTTGCTCGTGCTTGGCCGAAACAGGAGGTTTGGGATCCGGCGCATCTTGGTGTGGGACATAAGGAGGTTCCTCACTTGAAAACATGTGCCCAGAGTGGAAGAGACCCAGCTGTAAGGAAAACTGTTACAATAGGCACATCCAAAAAAGAAAGACTGAAGTGGACCATGCGCAGAAGATGCACCGCAGCCCATTGTTGCTAAGCAGTTGGACTGGAGATGGCACACTTCTTGAGCCAGCTTCATGCCAGTCAGTGCATGAACGGGTGAATGCTGTCAAGTCCTGCACTGCACTACTGCAGGCAATGCCATTGCTGCAGGACATCTGAGTAACTTCAACAAAGTGCGACTTCTCCCATGCACGAGACTCTCCAGCTTTGGGAGACAAAAAAAGGCTGAACGACTGATGCTGCAGCACTTGAAAAATGATTCAGAACTCGACTCCAGACCACCTGATGAACGCTGCAGCCCCACGAAGCAACACCTCTGAACACTTGCAAAGGATACCTGCCTATTCCTGCGACGATGTACAGCCCGATCCGCCTGGCCGGCCTGAGTTGGGCAAACTCTTTCGGGTGGCCCTGCTTTCGTCCCAGCTCCCGAGCAAGGCTATACGTGTAATACTTTAATGTCATCTCCAGGCTAGTGCCTGCTGCATGGCCGCTGAACCCACTCCAACACACCGGCGGCTGAGCATACTTCATCAGCTCGCTAGCATCGAAACCTTGCCGATGTGAGAGGCGCGGCTTGGCTCAAAATGAAAAAGCTTGGGCCCAGCACCATCGAGGAGATTGCAGAACGGATTTACTGGATCCTCGAAAGAGCCCCCATGCAGCTCTGTGTGACACGGGGGAGAACTGAAAACTGAGAAGCGTTCCATGAGCAGAGGCCTCTGTCCAAGCAAAGGTTTCCACACATCCTGGGAGACGTAGAGACACAGAGATGTGTCTGTGTCTTCCCAGGTCTCCTCCCAGATACTCTGCACTCTGCACTGTACATCCAAGAGCGCCTTGCCTTCAGTGACGCCAGATCCGCAAAGCTCCGCAGGACGGCCGCCACAAGTCTGCTGCGATCGCTCCGAATCTTCCGGCAGCTGCGCAGAGTCAGGAGCCTCGCAAGTGCCCAGAGCTGCGAAGGCAAGAGACTCCCGGTGTTCCGGTGTTCTGCGAAGGCCAAGGTCGGGGCTGCACGAGCCACCTTTCCGGGCGCGCCGACGCCTCGGCTCAGTGGAGACGGTGCAGTCGCAGCAAGGACTGAGGAAGGCTTCGCGGCTAAGCAGCGGGCGATTGACCATGGCTGCACCGAAACCCACCACAGCATCAAATTCACAACGGCCTCCAGGTGCAGAATCATGTTCTGCCGCTTGAGTTGGACAGCCACAACAAGCCGGCTCCTTCGCATCGGCACTTTGTCCGGTCATCAGCTCGTTCCTTTCTCGCACGAAAGCGGCATAGAAGTAGAGGCGCTCATCTGGAGGTGAATCCCGAATACACCTGCACGAGCGTACCGAAAGGCTCTAAAAAGTACTGAGTGCCATGCTTGTGGCTCACTCCATCAGGTGAGCACGGCTCTTGAAAACAGGCGACAGCAAGACCTTCCACGTCGTCATGCTCTGTAGCATATGTGCCAGGGTGTCTTTCCGTGCCTCGATAGGAATGGAGAGCCCCTCTGCCAGAAGATCGAAATGTACACGATCTCGGTCTGCCTCGAGTGGGCCGCGAAGATGCCGCAAATGCTTCACGGTAGCAGCAAGCACATGCAATCAAAGGCAGCACAGGCTCTAGCCCACCTTGACACAATCAATTTTGAGGGTAGCAAGCTGAGCCAGCTGAAATTGCAAAACCTCGTCAAGACGGTGCTGTTCAAAATAATCCACAATGATTCATAATAATCCACAATGATTGTGGTCCGACTGCGATTCCCACTGGTCAACTCTTCGCTGCAAGTTCTTCAAGGCTGTGAGGGGCACCGGCATCAGCGTCTCCACAAGATGCGGCAGCCACTGCGAGCAGTTTTTGAACGGCAGCTGCCTATGCAAATTTGACGAAGGAGCTTGGGACAGTGCAAAAAGCCTCCTCTTGCCTCACGAAGAGGACGATCTCGGCACCGTGACGGCAGTGCAGACCCTGGCCTGCAGGGCCTCGCACGTCGCACGTCGCACAGAGCGAAACATTCAATCGGAGAAAAAAAGGCCAGTTAAGTTTTCATCGGTCTCCACCTCCAAGAACAGCGCAATCAACCGCCAGGAAGGACACCTCGCTGAAGCTCTAAAGGCCACATATTATGCTTCTCGCTCTACTGCAGCATGGACGCAAACGTGCGCAGCAGTCATGCCTTCTCAAGCTGACAACGAAGCACCTCCAGCAGCTCTTTTACATCCTGTAACACATGCGCTCGCACAACAGCTCAGCATCTCTTGGATTCTGCCGTCCTTCTGAACTTCTTCATCGAAGATGCGGTCTGTGTCAGGAAAGTCCTGTTCGGTAAACGCTGAGCGGGCGCAATTTGGTCCAACTCCCCTCTCCTTGTCGTTCGAGTCTGATGGAAGTGCTGCTGTTGCATCCTTTGTAAGCAGAACGACTTTCTCATGTTGTCCAAATCCTTCACTCTATGATTCGCTTGCTGCCCAGGGGCATCCTGGACAGGCTTTGCACGCGTCGGTGGAGGCCTGAGATTTGTGCCCCTTGCATCTCCGAAACCATGGGCAGGGGAGTCGCCTAAGAGGATGCATCTTGCGCCGCCACGACTGTGTCACAATTCCTAGCCGTATTGAATTCATCGGCGAAGACTCCGACATGGCTCATACGGCCGCAGCTATACATTGATTGCATAGCCATTGACACAATCGGACTGGAGCAGGGATGGATCATCCAGGGATGGACCATGACTGGCCGCTGAAAGAAGTTTCGTTGCGGCGAACCCTACTACAGGAAGCAACCGATCGTGAAGGATGTGCTCTGGAGAGCACTCGCACGGAGGACCGTTAGGGAGAAGCGGCGAAAATGGAGAGGCTAATCAAAGTGCTCGCCACCGAAGCTGCTGTGAACATTGAACTGTCTCCACTTTTCCTTGGATCTCCAGCCCGGTGGAATCCTGAATACTAGTGTTTTGCCCACTGCGCACTGTAAAAGTCCGGCGTTGCAGGGCACGGTGCAGACCAGGTCCAGCAGCATCCATTCATCACATGTGACACGTATGGTCTAGCCTCTGAGGCATTAGCAGCACCGAGACGGCATCTGCCCCCAAAACCTCAAAGATGGCACTGGCATGCAGCTGAATCTTCGGGGGGGAACGGCCGCGCTCACGGCCTCACGCAGACCCACGTTTCCGCCACCGGTCATGACAAAGATCTCAGGATGCCTAGCAGGAGCTGACTTGAACGTTGCAGCTGATGAGGTTTGAAACGAGGGCATGCAGTCAGACGTTGCTCATGTACGAAACATGGCCCATTCCATGGCAGCCTGCGCAAAAACTCTGCAGGCTTGCCGTCGATGATGGCAGTCACCGGCTTTTTGAAGCGCTGCCTGATCGGTGTAAGAGGATTTTCGGACCGCAGCAAGAACCCGTGTGTCGTTCGGGAAGTTATAAGATGTAAGTCTACGAGATGTGAATGTGAATCATCTAGTTTGCAGCATTCTCACCCTGTATGATGCAGGTGAGCTAAGTTTCTATTTCAAACTGTTGCAACTTCGTGCCCAAGCCATACACCTGATTCTAATGCTGCATCCAAACAGGCCAGCAGGTCAAGAAGCGCCCGCAAAGTGATGAAATGTACACCTCATGTTCTTCTCACTGCAACAGCCAATAGCCCCCACAGCCGCGTAACCAACCAGAAACCGTACGAGCAATTTGGCTGAGCAGCGGAGTCCACACCGTCTGCAAGGATTAAGCGTCGAAACTCCTTGAATCAAATGACATTTGCTCGGGTGGACATGCCATGACAGCATCTCGTGACAATCCTCCACGACATGTTCTTCTGTGATTCTGTCGGGAACCTCAAAGGTGGCCTCCTGCAGTGCATCAGTGCGCATCTGCAGGAAATTCTGTGCTGGGCTGCTGAGCGCTGAGGACGTGCAGTGTGCACTCCTCGACGTCCCCAGGTTTCGCGTTGCGACGAGCCTTTGGAATACCGTGTCTCACAAAAGGCTGCTGACGGCCCGTGACCTGTGGCCTTTGGAACGGCTGTCTCCATCAGTCGTTGGACTTCTGGCAAGCTCTCGTACCTGTGCTCAAACCGCTGCTCACAAGATTGGAACCTCTGCAGCTGTCAGGGGTCACTTCTTCAGCGTGACGTTGCCAGCTCCCAACACAAGGAAGGAGTCTGGGTGCCGCTTGAAGAATTCCAGAGGTCGACTGGAGATCACACTAGTCACCGAGATCCCATTCCTGTCGACAGACCACCGACAGAGAAAGAGGCACCCTGTCGAATTTGCAGCTGCGGCCTCTGAATGAACTTGCCGCAGAGGGTGGAAATGTAGGTGACAGGGCCCAAGGACTGCGCATCATCATGTCATCATGGCAGAAAGCCTTCTACAAATATCCACTGCCGCGGCCTCTATGAGTTGCATGAACTCCCTCACAACCTCAAGGAGGGTGCTGGAACATCTACTCTGCAAGCACAGGCCACAAAAGTTCTGAGCTGAAAACGAAACTCTCATCCACCTCACCAGCTGCAACCGGAGCCTCAGATCCAAACAAAGAGGAAGATGCCAAGTTCCGCGAAAGCTTCCGCTCACAACGCTTCTCTGTGGGAAAGCTTTCAGTAAGAGTGTGTTCACTTTCATGAAGGCTGCCGAGGCCTCCACACCCCTGTCCAACAGCTTTACGGTCTGCTGCACGGGGTCATACTCAAACAGGCTGTCCTTCCTCTGCAAATACTCCGCCACTGACATTCCAGCCACGGCAGAGACCGACGTTTTGTACCTTCGTTGCAGGCATGAAGTATGCTGCCGCGGAACATCACAGGGGCTGCAACCAGGCCTTTCGCCGAAGAGGGCGTCAAGCTCGTCCAAAGACAAGGGCCCGTGCCCAGAACTCGGAGTTTCAACGGCACTCCGACCGGCGGACTCCAGAAGAGGCCGAGGCCAGGGCCCTCTGAGGAGACTTCGGAGGCTCCGCGAGAGCTCCGAGTAGCGCATCGGCTCCGGCGGCTCCGGCTGAGCGACGCCTGGCTCTTGCGCTGAGGCGGGCGGCTCGGACGCCTGGCGGGACGGCGGGCGGCTCTCCGTTGCCGACTCCCGCGCTCGCCGCGGCACCTTCGACTCGGGCCGTGCAAGTTTGGCCTGAAGAGCAGGTCACATCAGTGTCTTTAGCGTTGGCGTCTCCCGCACCTTGAGCTGGTTTCTGCCGACGATTTCGAAGTGCTCTGGAAACTCATGCACAAAGGCCAGCAGCCTGAGTGGAATGGGATACAGATGTGGGAGCAAAGCGTGTGTGAAACTCTCAAGCTCAAGCACTGATGACCATTGCGGTTACTTGTATTTTCCATAAGTACTTCAACATTGGTTGAGAAGGCGGCTCGTAGTCGCGGTACCATAATCGTTTCTGAGGGTGCGGCGACATCTGGTCGTCTCGACTGATATCCCTCAACTTCTGGGCGAGGCTGCGGCCTTGACTGATGCTGTAGCAGGACCTGGGCGACTGACCATGCGGCTAGCCACTTAAATCAATGACCGTTTGCATAATGACATCCAGTGCACCTTCTTAGGACAGGACGCTAACTGGTTATGCGTCATGGTTTTGTCACGCAGCAGCCCCTTACCACAAGGACAGATGTTCATGCATCAATACGTTCCAAGTCCGTCCGTCCTTGAGTTGCAGTGCCAGCTGTTCAGCATCACCTCGATTCCCGCAGTCTTGCATCACCAGCACCTTCAATACGTGTGTCGGAACCCGCAGAGGACAGAGACGTGTGGCCGGTCCCTGACTCACTTTCTCCTCCGGCCTTGAACCCGGGATCACGGCATCAGCCCACGGTTGGCTAGAGCAGGGATCCCCTGGGCCCACGGGTCCCCGCGGGTCCGCTGGGCAAAGGAACATCGATCAAATCATGCTTCCTGCCATCTTTCGAGACGCATGCCTCTGTGGCCTGAGCCAGAAAGGAACTCAAATTACCCATGTAACGGCCAACAACATGCCACCACATCCGATGTATGAGGGCTTGGGCAGTGCAACACATACAAAGTATAACGTCCATCTTTGCTCTGCCCTATGGCTGCGACGCTGCATTTCTGCGGAGAAGTCTACAGAGCACAGTCGCGCCAGCATCGGGTGCATGAGGAAAACAAGGTAGGTCTACAGGTTTACGCAGAAAGGTCATTCAGAAGTACGTAGAAGAACGCCATCCCTCTATGAACCCGTGCATACTTTTGTACAGATGCCGATGTGCATGACCGGAGCCAAGGATGCAGTGTGCCGCCACTGGACCGTCACATGATCTCGACCCTCTCCGCGTCCTCTTTGACCTGCGCTTGCTTCATCAGCTGCTGGTAGAGCGATTCCTCCTGGAAGCCTAGCAGCGAAACTCTGCGCAGAAGGTCTCTTCACAGAGACCAGATGTGCACACGCTGGTGTAAACTTGTAAACACTTTCTGCACAACCGGCCAAGACCGACTCTTGTGCCCAACATACAAAGGCTTTTGGCAGTTCAGAGAGCGTTGCTTAGAGCTCACGAAGTGCATCGTTCCGGAATTTGTTGGGATTCCGGTAAAGCCGGGGAGGAAGGCCCCCTTGACTTTACCTGCCAAGACACCCTGACTTCCACAGCTCCCCCACATTACGCTCATAGATACAGACATATAGATCCAAAGCACAAGCACTCCAGAGGCCAAACCCATCACGGCTGACTAACCCTCGAGACATCGCAACATGCCCCAGGATGATGGCCTTTCGCTTCGGGCCTTTGCCACGTGGTCTCTGCCAGCTCCTGCTACGACTCCGCGGCCTCGAACAGACATGAAAGTCTTGGACGGCTCGCACTCGCATTTGTTTGTTTTTTGTTGGTTTATTGATTCGGCACTCCTGCATTCTTTCACCCGGACCATTACTCCTGGGCGCTGATGCGTGGTCTTTTGCTGCACCAACGAGAAAATGTTCCCAAACATCGTGATGCTTGGTTTCACGGAACTGCATGCGAGGATCTGGCGAGGAAGTCGTTCAGACTGGTGCGAAACGCTTGACTTGTTAGGTGCTCTTGACACAACTGCCCTCGGCTTGCAGCAATGAAGCGTACATTGCTGTTCGCCACAAAGCTCTTTGCAGAATTCCCCCGCCTTTCAAGAGATTGGTCTGGTGATGAGGCATGACCATTTAGACACTGCCTAGACTCTAACAGTAACAGATGATATCGACTTCTCGGGATGAACTCATCGCGTTCCGACATTGCATTTGAGACGGTTGTGGGGACAGCAAGGCGCGAGTTACGAAAGGTGACGTTCAGGAAAGGTTCTGCCGGAGACCCTCACTACTCATCGCTACGTTGTGCCGCAAAACGTGGTAAGTATCAAGCGAGCCAGCTGGCAAGTGGGCAAGCAAGCACCCATTCCATGTTGCATGCCGCGTACCAACAGTCAACCCGAGCATGAGGACTGTCGCAGATAATGCAGGGCCTTGGTGGAAACCCACATTTCTCATCATGCGATATCGGATCGATTCCGCCACATCACTGGAACTGCTTAACGCCTGTTTTCACAAGAGCTCTGTAGCGGTGCACGCAGCTGGCGGGATTGGACCACATTTATGTGGTGATCATGCGCCGGAGGTGTTGGTTGGGTTTCTCGACCGCCTCGTGTGGTTTTTCCCCTTGCTCGCCGCTCTTGCACAGGGAACCAGACTTCAGCTTCTATACAAAGCAAGCCAGCGCAACTGCAGCCAGCCTTGTACCAGACTGCTCGCCTTTGCGGCACTAGTAGCAGGATTGAGGTTGGAGTGTGATGGCTACAGGCAAAAGCAGCCGAGCACGACACTCTGTTCTGTTTGGCTCCCTGACTGCTTCAAACGCCGGTGCCTTCGAAGACTCTACGGCTGGGGAACATTTTGACAGCAAGAAGCAGCACGAACTTCCATCGAGTCAGCGGAGGAGTACTGCAAGTGTTAGTCCGAGGGTTGCACCTTGGCCCTTGAGAGCGACAGTCCTGAGGACACTCGCAGATTCGACAAAGTCGCGACTTGTCGAGTCTGTGTGGCCTTGCAGCGGCTCCCCTCGCCATCGCCCAGCTCGGCGCGGCAGCCGCAATGGCAGTTGCACCGCTCTGGAGCCCAGAGCGTGTCAAGCTCAGCATCGGGCTCTCGAAGTTGCACCTGCCATTCGATTCACGTTGACGAATGGACGACGAATGGACCGAGGGATGCATCCGGCTCTGTGACAGATCGGACAACAAATTGCAAAGAGCACCTGACAGACACTCGTAGCACACTTGTCGGCTGCGCACGAAGACGAGAAACAGACGCTACCAAAGATCTCCGAGACAAGTCCAAGTACCAGTGCCGACAGTACCATGACATCCTACCAGGCCATTGCCTTCCGTGACGGGAATCGACACACTCTTCGCTTCGAGGGCAAATGTTACGAAAACTCCTGCACTTGGGCGAACGGCAACAATGTACAGGATCGGAGCTCTGACAGCACGCGAAACGCGACACGACGGACGACAAAGGTCCTGTCGCGCCTTCTACACGAATTGTTCTTGCAGGCAGCTGTCATATCTTTACAGCCGACTGTCTGAAAGATCGTGCTCCGGAAAGGCAGCTTCCTCACCACAATTGGTCAACAGTGTACAGCAACGGTATCGAAGGTCACGCATCGGCAAGCATGAGCCCCATGGGGCCGATTGCACCAATCCAAACTCGGAGAACAAAATTCCGTGACACTCGCACGCCAATGACAAGTGGAGCCCCCTCTGCATGCTGTAAACAAAGCACGAACAGCTTCAAATGCCTTCTCCCACGTTTTGCGAGGAAGTGACTTCGCCCCATCTGGCAGGTGCCGTGTTTCCCACAGGCAAGCAACACCAGGAACAGCAATTCCAAGAGCATGCATCGGACAGTTGCGTTCAAGCTGCCTGGCTGCGGTGTCTTCCTGAAGACTTCATAGATGAGGCTTGCACGCATCCCCTTGCCTCGAGTCGAAAAATCGAACATTCAGAGCAGGTTCAGCACATCAAAACGCCAGAGCCTGCGTACTCACTGTCGAGCTTCTTCTGGGCCCTCTCAACTTGCTTCTGATCCATGGACTCATTCTGGACAGTTGCCTCATCTCGCAGCAGTCAGCAGGGTGTCGTTGCCACGAGCAGCGTCCATGACAGCTGTATTTAGCTTGCAGCCAGGGTCACCGATGCGACCAGATTGCGCAGTCCGAATCCCCCCCTTTTGTCAGGGTTGACCAGTCTGCGACATCGATCAGACTCGGAGGCATGCATACACCTCAAAATGTCATGCTAAATGTCCAACTGTCAAGTCGTTAGCAGCGGCAAGGATGTGGCGAAGGTCTATTCGGTTCTAAACTCCGAAACGACATCTGGAAATGTTGAAACCGAAGTACTGGTGTCTTGCACTGTGCTTGAGCAAACTCGAGAAGCATCACGTCGTGTTCAAAAGCTACTCCGGGCTGGTACATTGCACAATTTCGAGAAGCTGTTGTGCATGCGAAGTTTGAAACCACGTGAGCTACAACTTGCCGGCGTCTGGTCGAGAGACTCTGTACACGCCATCGCGGAACCAAATTGCTGCCCCCTAGTACTACGAGAGCGGCGGGCTTCGCCGCTTCCACAAACATTTCAAACGCGTCGATGCCCTGCCACGGTCTTTGGCAAAGGACCTTCAGCAAGACGGAGCCAAAACCGCGAAAAGATTGTTTCAATGCTCGGGCCTGGGGTCAAAAGAGCCACTCGCGCGTCAGGAGTAAATGCCTCGGCTGGAATCGTGAAGTCCCTTGGGCCCCCGATCCCCGACAGTTCTGACATCTGACAAGGAACGCTGGATCGGAGTCCTCTTTGACGAGAGACTCTCTGCCTCAAGGATGCAGTCGGGGAGCATGGAAGGCCAGCGCCCAACACATTCAAAAACATGCGGCATGTACCATCCAATCAAGGAGCACAACGGGCAACCAGGATGTTGATATCTTTTGGAATGGACCCAGTCCTGGATCGGAGTCAATCTCAGCCGCTACACGCGAACACAGGCGCCCATCCCTCTGGGATGAATCTGTGGGCCTCCCACACTTTGCAGAGGTTTACGGCTTACGTCGGGTCATCACTCCTTCTGCTTTGGCTTTCGGAGGCTGCACCGCCACTGCCCGCTTTTCCTTCATCTGGTGCTTCCCGTGAGCCCGTTGTGGAATCTTCGAAGGCTTGAAAGGATTCGTCCTTCCAGGTTCTCCGGTTCGAGCTTCGCCCGTTTAGCTTTCAGGACCTCTGAGCTCAGCAAGCCGCAAACCTGGCGGCGATGGACAGCAAAGCCGCGAGTCCACACTGTACCCTGAAGGAAACAGCTCGAAACCACCCGGCCACTAGCGGGCGATGGATAGCAACTCACCACGCGTGGTGGGGCACGAAAGCACAGCAAACCCTGCGAACAACCTCAATCCTCCAACATTGGAAATGACAAGCACCCCCAAAAGGTTCATGCCCAGAAAGACTGCTGGCTTCCGTGTGTTCCGGAAGAATGACAGAAGGAACACTCGTCACTGGTACTAGCTCTTCCCACACCGTAGGTCTGCTACTTTGAAACTTGTAGATTTTACATCCGGAGTCCTCCAGGCAGCTGCGGTGAAATTCGTGGCCACCTTCGCAAGTGACAGAAGGCCCAAGTGCCGAAGGTGAACCCACGAGGCATCCACAGGCCGTTTGGCACAAGTCCTCCGTAGCTTGTAAGTCCTTCAAGGACGGACCACAAGAGTGACGATGCATATAACACCGGAAAGCTGTGGCGTTGGGCTCCTGCAAACAAACGGAGCACTGTACGACGTTCTGCCGTGGCGGCCTAAGCAGTCCATGCATCTTCTGGCGCCAGGGCAACTCCAGAGCCCGCTTAGGGATCGAGCGGATTGCGCAGGTGTGACAAAGGACCCCTCCACCTGTCAGTTGAAGTGAGCGCCCCATGGTCGTGAACTTGACCATACCAACTGCTAAATTGCTAAACTACACAACATCGCAAACCCGGTAAAGACCAGCCCGGGGCCACCCGTCACAGCTCAGCGGCGACACCCGACGCAGGAGCGTCAGCAAGGAAACCTGGCGGAGGGAAACAGTTCGGCGACGAGATTGCCACTTCTCAGTGGATACCTTAGGCCCTCAGGCCCTATCATCAACATCCATCACACAGCCTGCCATGACGTGCTGCAATCAGGGGGCTTCGGTTCAGTAATCAGGGGGCTTCGCGTGCAGTCAACAGCACCACGGCTCTACACGAAAGACTTTTATGGGAAGGCTGAGAACCAATTTTCGAGCGATTCGGCCATCTTGTGAACAAGAGTTAGCCTAGCAATTTGCTTCAAGTATTGGCGTGAGTACATTCTAACAGCATGACTCAGTTTACTACAAAAACGTTCAAGTCCCACTTGGTACTAACAACAACTAGTTCTGCTACGAACTACTACATATACATGTCATACCAATCCGACCACTACGGACGACCAACACCAGTACACACCCATACGGCGACCAGAAATGTACATGAATAATGTCGTGTGACTCAGCGGAACAAAGATCTGTGCAGCAGATGTTCATTAAAGTGCTGCGTCTGCGAGAATTGGTTTCTTCACATGGTGGCCAGAAATCAGCTACATGCTGAAGTGGAGCAAGTAAAGGCTCGAGAGCTTCGGAGACATTGCCCTGCATCAATGTCATGCAACAGCTTTTTGCGAGGACAGCTGTTCGCGAATAGCTGGTCATGATTGCTTCCGGTTGCTCTGCGCATGGTGTTCATATACCCACGAGATGCCTGACATCTCGATGACACACCGGCACAACTCAAATCATCTGAAAAATGTATAATACATGGTTTAGTTACGCAAGTCTTTCGTGGCGTTTCAATGCATAATCATGCATATGTTCACCGTGTCTGCTCGCGATGTTTGCCCCAGTCTCAACTGTGTCAACAGTGGTCTGAAACGGTCGAAACCCCAACTCTGAAGCAAATCAATCAGCATTGAATCTCTTCAGCTTGCATCCAAGTGGCCCCCCAGGCTCCCATTTCAGCATTGCCATATGCAATCGGTGCTATGCGAGCACACCTCGAGCCACGACAAGTTCAAGTCATGTAGCGGTGCACACACCGCATTGCATACGATGCCACCGCTGGAGATCCATCTTCTAGAATCAGGTTGATGATTCACATGATGTCATTATGTTGCATGCAATGCAACACAATGCTTTCTGCATGTCCACATTTCTGCTGCACACAAGCCGGCGAACCATGTGCATTATAAGTTCGGCACGGTTGGTAACAGAGCGCCAGAAGCACAACGAGGACCTGACGACTGATGACGACTGACCCCCAAACCTCAGCCTCACTGTTGTAAAGAGCCTGATTCGTGCTGAGCATCCAACAAGCAGCACAGCCCCATCGATGTGCTTCCGCCACCGTTGCAGGAAGCGTCGGTACGTGCCTCCCGAGCGGAAAATCCGAAACCCTTTCTTGACAGCCTCTTCCACTGTTCCATGAGCGTCCGCCAAGGCCTCCGGCTGCGTTGGACTCCCTCGGCGTGGGAAGCAGTACGGCGAAAACTGGCGATGCAGCCCACCTTGCAGCCCCGAATCACATCAATTAACACACACACGCACACTTCACATCATGACTGCCTCACGCTCGTCGTGCAAACACGCTGAGGCACCGACCAGAGAGATACACCGGAGGCGAAATCCAAGGGAATAGTGCACCTACCGCCATGCGCTCTAATCATGGCATGAAGCGAGACTCCAGCGATCTCCCAGCAACGGCCTGGGTGGCGCAACTTGCTGCCAGCCCAAAGCTGTGCAAACATTTGCGAAGTAATCCACATCACCCGGGCCTGCGGGGTGAGGCCAACTTGCAGAGAATCCGGCCAAAATGTGGCAAGAGCAATGCGCAAGAGCCGCACGCACGAGAATCACATGCTGCATGAGTGACCTAGTCCGTGGCTACTGAAGTGAATTGGGAGCACATGAATGTAAGGGACATGTCTCAGCAGCCGCCTACGACGTTTCCGCCGAGACCGCTGGTCTCGCCTGGATCGCGCGATCCAGAGAGACCTGACTTTGTCATGGCACGGCAGTATGGACAGCAGCAAGAGGATGTAAGCACTACAACGAAACAGCTCCAATATCTGCACCTCGCTTTGAAGTGGCTCCTCCTGCTCTTTGTGTGGCTCCGCAGGCAAGCGCAGTGAACGTCAAGCCGACGAGGATGTACACAACAAGAAATCTCATTAGTCTTGGCGACATCCGCACCTCGGACAACGTTTGGCAGAAACAAGCAGTGCTCAGAGATTCTAGTCTAGAAGTTTTTCTGCCTAACGTGCAACAGCCATAAGAATCGTAAATTCGCAGCCAGTTGGTACCGGCCTGGTCAAAATCCTGGTCAAAAAACAGCGCCGTGGCATAGAGGGTGATGAAACCTGATACACTTCAATTGCAGGTCGGAACATGCTTCCTACTTCACTTTATAGCACTGTCGTCATGCACCTTCAACAAAAACTGAGCACCTTTGAATCTTTGCCACCAGCTAGAACTGCTGCCTCTCATGCAATTGCGATCCGCTTCAGCCACTGCACCTGTGGCGAGAAAAATGAGAGCCAGCTTCGCCAAGCCTGCGCACGCAGGCCCAGCAATCAAGTACGTCAAGCCGGCCATGAGCAGGACCTGCAATTCCATCAGGCTTTCGTTCACAGAGGCTGCTGAAACTAGCAGTATGTTTAGCCCTACCAGTGTATGGCCGCGCAGTCCAATCCATGGCAAGAACCGCTAAACCGCAGCTTTCACAATCCCAAGCGCCTTGGCACTCATGCTTCGCCACACTTGCAGATCAGCAATCAAACTTGCACGTCGCAGTTCTGCGACTTCTCCGTCAGCCAATCCTCCAGACCGCCAGGCAAAGCGCCCAACGCAAACCAAACCTCCAACGACGGCGAGATTGCAAAGAATTGCCGCTGTCGCCAAGGGTATCGCGCAACCAAGAGGAGCTGGACTGTTGGCATCCACATGCTGACCATCCGTGCTGCAATAAAAGCTTTTCGTCGCACCTTGGATAGCCTCCCGACAGATCATCGTAATCGCGACCAAGCATGCCACAAGCAAGAATCCAGCGCACGATACTTGTCCAGGCAACCCTCTCCCGTTGTCTGTCGGATCGGTTGTCTCATCAGCGGCAGGGTCTGCGAACAAGCGGTCCGTATTTGGGAACTGAACCCCGGTTGGCCTCGCAGAGCCTTGCGACAGCATGT